TGCATTAATTTTCCTACATGAAGAAGTTATTTTTAATCTTATCAAACGTCGATGTATATTTATTAATTCAAACGAAAATGATGCGTTAAATTTACACATTTGAACCACTTTTTTAACGTTCCAGGTTGATTTTTGAAAGGATTGATGTTTTTGGAATTTCGAGTACACCATAAGAAATCCTAATAAATAAATTGTAGAAATATATATATTTAAGGAAGTTTTTATAATGTTTGGCACCCCTACAAATATGTTTGTTGAAAAACAGTTATTTTTGGAAATTTATCAAAGTTTCTCCTTTGTTAAAATTCTTCGGCCGGATTGAGATAGCTCCGGCTGGTAGCATTTTACTCTATTTGGGATGTACTATAACACAATTTTTTTCGGGTGTATGGACCACCCTGTATCACGATCACCACCCATCTAAATATACTCAAATACAAAAAACCAGACACTTGTATTTTGTTCTTTATTTCAAACTACATGTTTATATTTTTATCGTTATATTAATTACAATACACTTATTTTAATGTAAACCAAATTGAACGAGATCAGAAATTCCGTTTTAATATCAATTATTTAATTATTATGGTTTGAAACAAAATTCACCAAAGCACCGGAAAATCATTTAGTGATAGAATAAATTGTTCGTTAAATTTGAATCTATCGCTAAAAGACTTTCCGATTTCGATGAATTTTCTTTCGAACCATCATAATTAAATATTTTTTTCATGAATTTCCGATCTCGTTTAATTTGGTTTACATTAAAATAAGTATGTTGTAATTAATATAACGATTAAAATACAGTTTGAAAGAACAAATTACGAGTGTCCGGTTTTTGTCTTTGAGTATGTTTAAAAAAATTCTTATATAGATTTAAGTATTTTTTCTGTTCTTTTCCCTTCATTGTCATAGTTTCTATAGATGGGTCTGGGCAATTGGCGATCTGTAAAAAAGAGAGCAAACCGGTGACAAAAACACGTCCAGCAACGGTTAAATGGCGAAAATAGGCGGACCCATAAAAGTAAAATATGACGAAGTAGCATATATATCTTTATTCATTTATTCGATATATGTTGCGAAGTTGTCAATAAAAATATAATATTATAAACAAGCCGCTAAATATAATTATTTTAATAGGTTAATAAAATAAATAATCTATTAATTATTAGCAATATTACAATTAATCATTATTACGGGATGAAAAGTGATTTTATGTTAGTTACTGTGAAAGAGTGAAATAGTGAGTGAGTGTTTCCCCCCAATAAAAAATTTATGCAGTACCCCTGCCATTGGGCCTTATATTGTCTACCTGTTAGATACGGATTACAGATGTTTGTATATACATAATTCAATATTAAATAAAGATATTTACACAATGATAATAGACAGAGAAATATTAACAAATTTGACAGAGTAGTGAGTAAATGTATGTGAGTGTGAGTACCTTCGTTTGAGTGAGTGTGTTTGTGAAACTTGTGAGTGATTGTGAGGAAGTTAGTGTAAGTGAGTGAGTTAGTGGGAGTGATGAGTGGGTGAGTTAGTGTGAGTGTCTTAGTGAGTGAATAAATGTTAACTTTGAATAATTGAATTACAATCATTGTAACAGACAATATTACAATTATATGTGCTGTGGGCTAACAATGTCATGACAGGTAATATGATTGAAGCTGAGGGGTTGTTAATGCAAAGCTACAAGCCCATATGACACAACGTATCAAATATGTCACGAATATCAAAGAAGATATAAATAATGGTGTATGTGAAAACACTTCTTAATTCTTGGCCTGATAATGTAAACCGTTGAAAAAATCTGTAAGGAATCCTCAAAGGTGAAACTTTATCAGAAAGTCTATTACTATTGTGTATAATTGAATGGACAAATGAAAATATCAGTGCCTCAGTTAGGATAAGTATTTTTAACAATTCAGAAAAATTTACAGTAAAAACTTTATGGCTAAACATGGCTGTATGTTATACTACTATCATACACGATATTAGTGAATATGCAATAAATTGAATGTAATCACATATGTTTTTATAGATAATCACTTAACAAGTTTTGGTTTTCTTTGTTGATTGAGGATTAACAGTGTCAAGAGATTTAGGAAAATGTTTAAGAACTTCTCTCTGTTCCACATGTCTGAAAAATCTCCTCCTGATTGGAATTCTGAAAACGCTATATCAAAATAAAATGATAGGGGATAAGATGGCAAACAGAATATCAAAACAGACTCATTTTAACTAAAGTGATTCAACTATTGGAACAATAAAAGAAATCTGATTGTCTTGTACTTGATCATAGACAATCGAAGTCTGAGTTCATCACTTTGTAGACCTCAACACAATATCTAAGAAATTTTATTGCACTATTCAAAAGAAAGTTAACCGACACCACCACCACCACCAACTTTATTCAAAAGCTTCTGATTTTAATTCAAATGAGTAAATTTCAAAATTATTGTTGAAAGTCTTCTTATTGATATTCATGTGTCTGATTAATAAACCATTAATAATATTGTTTATATTTCATGCTCAGATATATAAATGTAAATGCTTGACACAATAATGTACATATTTTTTACTATGTTACAGTTGGTAAATAATAAAAATTATCCCCAATGGAGTAAATAAATGGAGGAAAAATTATTTCTTATCAAAATTCAAGATTTAACTTTTTAAATGTTCAAATGGTTCAAATGTGCAAAATGATAGTAAACCTGACATGAAATACTCTGATAATGCAGTAATATTTCAAATTTTACTAATTATTTTTGCCAGAAGGCATCTCTTAAATCATCATAACCATCCATAACAAATTGTCGATAGTCATCACCTCTTATTGATCAAATAAGTTTATATAAGACTGGAAAAATTAAAATACTGTGAGAATACTAGAAGGTCAAAAGATAAATTTTTGATGTGTTTTAGCTATTTTGAACATTTAAAATGGAGTAAAGTAAAAATTGCCTGATTATCTTCAAGGACTTCAGCCTAATCTTCCTGGTTTGGCTTATCGTACATTTCAATTTTGCTATGTTCAGTGGTCGGTCTGTGTGTTATTTTGCCAAAGAGGACAAAGAGCAAGAATTGAAAGATCAGGGTGATCAGGTAATCACCTAACAGAGCAGACGTCACAATTCACTATTGACATTTTTTTTTTTTTTTTTTTTTTTTTATGGGCAACTCTGGAAGACTTAAGCATAAATAATAATGTAAATGGATCCTTACAGACCATCTTTCTCTGTCTATACTCAGATGACTGTCGGCAAACACACAACACACAGATGATGAAATGCCGAAACACTTCTGTCAGACCAATGCTGCAAGAGAAGGCAGGCCAGAATGATTGGTCAGGATAATCAAAACTATCTAGCTATACCTCATGGAAAAAATCTGATAAAGTTTTCAAACTGTACAAATGATTAAGACAAGTTTTATAATTAGGCATTTCAAATGCTATGATTAGCCTTCATTTCTGGCTAAACCATAGAGGATAAGACATTTCAGGAAAATAAATACTAACCTACTACTAACCAACCATCACTTGCAGGGAAAAAAATTGCATAATAGTTTTCAAGTTGTAAAAATAAGTATGACAACTTAGGTAATTTAACAAGGTGCCATGACCAACCATCATTTCTGACTAAACAGTAAACCATAGAGGACAAACAGATCATCAGGAAATCATAGATGGGCACTCATAAACCAGCTAACAAATAAAAATCTCCTAATATAGTTTTCAAGCTGAACAAATGTTTAAAACAAACTGGCATAGTAGAATCCTTGATAAGTATACATCAGAGATGACCAATTCAGTGTGTGGTAGATCTGGCAATAACCAAAAATGGCAAAATGCTGAAAAACCTAGCAAGGGTAGGCAGACCAACACGATTGATACAGATAATCAAAGAAGACCAACATAATGTGCAGACAGCAAGTATCATATATCTAAGTGTCATAAAAAATATCCTATTAAAATTTCAAGCTGTACAAATGATTAAGGTAAATTGGCTGTTTCAGATGCCATGATCAGCCTTCATGTCAGACCAAACCTTAGAGGATGGGCAGATCACGATAACTGAAGATGACCAACTATAACATACAGACAGCAAACTACATGAAGTTTTTAAACTGTACAAACAATTAAGTCAAATTTGATGTTAAAACAATTTAGATGTCATGATAAAAAAACATCACAAAAAATCTCATAATAAACTTTCAAGCTTTTAAGAAAAAAATGTCCATTTCAGAATCATGATCAGCCTCCATCTCAGACCAAACATTAGAGGATAGGCAGATCACGATAACCAAAGATGATCAACAATAACTCGCAGACAACAAAGTATCTCACAATAAAGTTTCTAAGCCGCACAAGTGATTAAAACAAATTTTAGCATTTTGATCGGATAGAGAAAACTTACAGACAACAAAGCTTTCGAATTTTCAGTTCGTATGCTGGAAAAGATGAAATACAGTGAGAATAGTAGAATGTAAAAGCAAAATACTATGTAATGCAATTCACCACCATATTCAGGACCTCATACTATGTTAGTGTGAAGAAATGGCATTCATTGAAAGGTATACTGTTCCAAAATTTAAAGTAATCGATATCCACTGTATTATTAGAGTTGAAAATTTCTGAATCTGTGAGTAAAAATGGATCTGACACAATGAGAGATACAATTTTGTCTAATCCTCCAGGCCATCCCCCAAAAGTAGGCAATAAGCCGCGTTCGGTGGAAAATATTGATCAATTGACCCAATTGTTGCAAAATAGGCTGATATTGCTACCTATAAAAAGGAAAGAAGCAGTAAAATTTGTGAACAATGATTTTGTTTTTGTTTCACGAATGTATTCCACGGGGTTGAGAAACACCTGTTCAACCCTTGAGTTTTTGACAAATTAAAAAAATAAAATAAATAAAATAAAGTAAGTAAAGGAGGATTTTTTGAGAAATTATAACCTGAACCAAATCGTTGAAATATAAAACAAAACTGACCTCTTTCGTTTGTTTCCATCTTTATATGACAGATTTTTTTCCCCAAAAAGTCCGAACAATTTCCAGTCGTCGCGTTCCGATCCGGTCGTACGACTGGCCGAGTTTATTCAAACATTTCCACCGGGAACGGAATAATATTCGATCAGTCAGTTTGTCCCACTTTTGACTTTCCTTTTACTTTACATTTCTTTACTGAGGGGAACATGGCCGGCAACAGAATCAAGGGACAACAATAAAAAACCAAGGTCGATGAACTCGCGACGACTCGCCTCCAACGGACTTTCAAAGGCGGATTTCGACGCGGATCCACAGATTTGACGGGACGAACGCGATTTACGACTTTCAACGGGGGCTTCGGACGGTTTCTGATATTAATTCTGGTTTGTGAGAAACCCGTTGTCAATCCAGGTGGCGGTGGGAAGTTTTGTTTACCGAGCCTGCGAGCGGCCCAGCGGCATACCTTTAAGGGTTTTAGTTTCGGCTACTTTTTGTGAGGACTTCGGGGCGCCACCGCCGCGACTAAAAAAAGTCAAATATGTTCTTCATCCTGGCCTAAGTAAACATTGTTGCATTATTTTCATTCAAAACGTCAGAAAATGTTTACATTACAACAATATAATTAAATACTGTGAAGAATAACATATGAAAAAAATTTGAAAAAAATTATAGATAACAATATGGCCCATTGAGATTGAAATAAACTGTACAAAAATGAATAGGGATAGTGCCAATTGTGTACTATTTACTTTATTAAAACTTATTATATTTTTACTGAAAGAAAATTTAATTAGGGAATTTTGAAAAAATAACCAAAGGTTTTTAATTTCATAATTTTGTTTATTGGCCACAATAATTTTATTAAACAATTAATACCGTGTATAATGTCCTCTGTTCGCTAAAAACTCTATTCACCTCTTAGGCATAGTGTTAATAAGATTGTCACTAAGTGGCATAGTGTTCATAAGGAATTTCACTCTATACATGTTGCAACGCTGCACTCAGTTGTTGCAGGTCAACTGGCTGCAGATGGTGATCGAAAAGCCTTCTTTGAATGTATCCCATGTGAGCTCAACGGGATTGAGGTCTGGAGACAATTTGGGAAATGGCAAATGGGAAATTCCCAGGTTTTCTAAACATAGATGAATAACTCTGTCTCTATCAGTCTGGGATTGTCATCCAGAAATTGAAAATCCCTGCCAATGAGATCCCTGGTTTGAAGGATTCCTCATTAATTTCTTGGACATAACGGATGGCAGGTTCAGTCCAGTTCGTCTCTGCTGTAAATACTTTCCATCTAATTATAATTATTAAATCATTTTTAAAGTTGTAAAACAAAAAATATGGCCAAAACGTCAAATTAACAAAACAAATCAAAATTTGTGCCACTTTTTTTGTGGAGCAGTGTATACTAAACATTGCTGCATTTTTTTTTCCATTCAAAATTTATTACGATCCTAACACTTATTTACTTTACTTAGACCTTCCCTAGAAAGGTGTACTACTGGTTCAGAACTTCTGACAAGGTGCAGAACAGCTCAGTTAAGTTTCACAAGAAATCACATTGGTCTGAGCCAGATTGGAGTATAATATTGTTTTTGGATGAGTCAATGTTTTGGTTGAAGTCTTCGGACAGCTGAGAGAGGGCGGAAAAGAACAGGAAAGTGATTCACCCCTGCAATATTTGCACTCCAGAGAAGCTTGGAGGTGGTGGTGCTATGGTTTGGTTAGGTATTTCTATGGAAGGTCACACAAACTTGATTTTCATCGAGGGTTCCCTAACAGCTGAATGATACATTGAAGATGTCATCAGAAGAAGGAAAAAACAAGATGGCCACTTTTTTTGCCTCTCAATGTAATATTGATAACCAATCGCCATATAATCTTCCATCTCCAAATTATTTGAATTTCATACATTAGATAAATTAGAAAATTATTATCTTAACACTACTATAGAACAACAACATGGTTTCACCAAAGACAAATCCATAACTACCAACTTTCTTTTCCAGAACTTTATGCTGAAAAGTTCAAGTTGATGCCATATACACTCACTTTTTTCCAAAGCATTTGACAAATTTTATTACCCACTTATTATAGCCGAATTAGTAGCTTGTATATTCCATGGCACACTTTTAAGTTGGTTTCCTTTCTACCTCAGTAATAGAAAACAATACGTTAAATTAAAATCATATCATTCTTTTCAATTTCTTGCATTCTCTGGAGACCCCCAGGGTTCTCACTTAGGCCCCTTTCTATTTAACATCTTCATTAATAGTGCATCTGCTCTTAATGACACACACTCTCCTCCAGATTACCTCAAAATATTCCATAGAATCAATTCTGAACCTGACTGCATTTATTTACAATCTAAATTGTTTAACTACACTCAATGTTAAGGAATGCAACATCTTCTCTTTTAATAGACTTAAATCTACCCTCTCATTCCTTTATTCCATATATAATATCTTATTAAGTAGAGTGAATCAAAGATCTCGGTATTCACTTCCACAATCACCTTTAATCCTTTAATCACCATATCAACCTATAAGCCAATAGTAGCAAACAAATTATTATTATTCATATGTTGCAACTCCAAGAATTTTAATCCCTACATTCCTACCCTCCTATACACTTCTTGTCCATTCCCTATTAGAAACTGCTCCTTAATCTTGTCTCCACATTACAATACCAACATTAAGTCATTAGAACAAATTCAGCACAAACTCCTTTGGTGGATAGGTTGCAGCAAAATGGGAGTACCATATTATGATCTTCCCACTGACATCCTATATCAACAACTAAGTTTAATTTTGCTTGAATCTCGACATAATACACTTGAGGCTCTATTTTTGTATAAATTTCTTGTCAAGAAGATAAACTTCCCTGAATTAGTTCAACTAATAAATTTCCACATCCCCACTAACCGAACCCTATCCTGCTCGCTCTTCTACTCCTTAAACTACTGTCAACTACCTATTCCATTCTCTTCTCAATGGACTGCACACACTTGTGAATAAAATTAATAACAATATTAACTTCTTTAATAACTTTCTCGATCAGTTTCGAAATTCTTTAAAACATTATCTAGTCACTACACTACCTTTTCTTACATTTCAGTCACATACATTCCACTTATTTCCAGTTATACTCAAGTATTTTATCATATTAATGTGATATTAATTTATTTTTATTAATTGTTAAGATTATTTTTATCAAAACAATTTGTTTATTTTATATATTATTATATTTTAATTATACTTTATTTTTATATTGTTATGTCATTACTTCAATTATCATTTTTTATCAATTTTATAAATGTACTTACATGTATATTTTCTATTCTTTTCAAGGAAGTACATCCAAGTTCCTGTTAGCAGTATTTTTAACAAATCAACTCATACTGTTAATTTATAAATTATAATTTAAAAAATTATTATACTCTGCCCATTATTGTCAATTATAAATAATTACTTATGAGATTTCTTTTGATTGTAAAGGCTGATATTGATAAGAGGTTATATGTCAGGTAGATTCTAACAAGTAAACAGTTTTTGTTAGGTGCTTAAGTTTTTTTCCCAATGGTTAAGTTAAAATTGAAGGCGGCGTAATTGTACATAATGTATCTTTTAGTTTTCCTACACAGATAATAGAAATAATAAACTAGAATAATGTTTAAAGTGTTTTAAAGTTATAGTTTTTACAATTAACAATCAATCAATGATTCAAAATGAAAGGTTTCGTGAGGATCGTTCGTAAGTCTGGTTTATTTCGTAAAATCTGTGTTGTAATACTGGTGTACTTCTTATACTGCTGCGGTGTGTTTACACATTTAATAGAAAAACGTTTCAATGGTGAATTTCCACTTGGAGAGGAATCATATAATGAGATAAGAAGTTCTTGTTTGAGAGGTATAAAACCCGACATCGAACCTTTTAACACGTACAAATACTATTTCAAGTATTTCGCCTCTCTTAAATGCTTATCAGAATCGAAAATAAAACTTGCGATTATAGTCAAGTCGGCTATTGGGAATTTTGACCGGAGACAAGGCATCAGGCGGAGTTGGGGCTTCGGAAATAGATATTCCGATGTAGAGATGAGAACTGTGTTTATATTGGGCATGGGTGATGATAAAGAACTTCAAAAAAGAGTCGACAAGGAGAACAGCGAGTACAATGACATTGTACAAGCAGCCTTCAGAGATGATTATTATAACAATACAATAAAAACTTTAATGGCTTATAAATGGGCCGTCAAGTACTGCAGCGATGCCAAGTTCTATGTCTTCAGTGATGACGATATGTACGTATCTATAAAAAACGTTTTGAGGTTTGTGAAGAATCCTTTGGATTATCCTGACTACCTAGAAGTGCCTGTAGTGTCTTTAAAAGATTCCCACCATTACGAAATAAGACGAGAACTCAGATACAATAAAAATGTGCCTCAAATGTTGGATTTTGAGCTTAACGACAAAGCTGAATTGTATGCAGGCTATGTATTTCAGTCATCTCGTCCACACAGACATTTCTGGAGCAAATGGTACATATCGTTGGAAGAATACCCTTATGACAGGTGGCCACCTTATGTCACTGGTGGGGCTTATATTTTGTCGAACGTTGTACTTCACGAATTTTATTATGCTAGTCAAGTTACTCAACACTTTAGGTTCGATGACATTTACATTTCCATATTGGCATACAAACTCAACATTACGCCAATTCACAATGATGAATTTTATTTCCACAAGAAGCATTTCAGTGGTAATAATTATAAATATGTTATCGCTTCTCACGGCTTTGATAATCCACACGAACTTAAGGATTTTTGGCACCATCAAAAAACAATAGGAAATGCTTGACTGAAATTATGTAAAATATATTTGTAAATTGTACAAAATCTTCACCTGTGATCACAAATACATGTCACTTTTAAATTTATGATTTATTTCTTTTTTATTCTGACCAGCTGTTTTCTACCTTTCAATGAGAGTTAGCCCTCATTATTAACATTTGGTCTAATCTCTCTCTGATCATCCTGTTCTATCTGTCATGCGTTTTTCAACATTTTAATCTCTTCAGTGTATACGGACTAATCAGTTTACTTTTTACACTTGTTAACATGTCATCATTCTAGTTATTACTACTTTTATTTTATATATTTGTTAATATACTTTTAATGTACATGATATAACAAAATGTTCAGGAGGTGATAGTACAGACGAGAAACGGAGATGTTTCTCTAATCACGGGATCATCTTCACATTAAGTGGTAGAAAGGTGCAAAAGTTCTAACTTTGTGAGATCAAGTAAAGCATTCAACCAATTAAATGGCATAGGATGATTCAGTTAATGACAACTAGTTTTGTCTGTTTGTAGGAAATAATTGACAAAATATCATCCAACTGCTCGAAATGAAATGCTGACAAAAACCAACAAGAAAAGCAGATGAGAATGAACAAGATTCAAGATGTAGGTTCATTCGCTTCATCAACCTCACCACAATGGTAAAAATAATATCTCACATTATTAAGGGGGTGTCAGTGATCAAATAGTAAAAGCTGCATTGACATGTCACTGTAAGGTAAAGGTCCGTCCTGGGTTCAAGTTCAGGGGCAACTTTTTTTCAAAAACACCAGCACCCCGGGAGTTGATATGACCTCTACTGTTGAGAACCCCCATTAAACAAAAAATCATCAAGATGGTTCTTTACGGTATATGGTTCTGGAATTTTATTTGTCAATGATTTGAAAAAAAAAAAAAGAAAGAGAGAGGCCACAGTGATCAAGTGGCAAGGGCATCCAATTCGTACTTGTAACGTTATCTGTTCTATTAATTTTTATTTGTGCATACTATGGAGAAAGTATTGTAAAGTGATGTCTGTGTGGGACGTTAAGCCCACATATGTGACAGGAATTACTTTACTTTACTTTTTGAATGATAATCTGGCCCATATCCAACTCACATCACTGTCCAAGTTACACAAAATATAGTCACATGATTATTAACTGCATCGCCATGGTATGTGAGAAACTCAGCTCTGCACTGTGAACATGAATTAAAGACGGTTCAGGATACGGATTATCACTTATCGCCTCCTACAAAAAAGCGACTCATCCGAATCCTCTGATTTCATTCATACCAGACCATACGCTACTAATTCCTCACCTCAGATGACTGAAACGTAAACACCACATGTACCTGACTGAAGGATTCGTTTATAACCAAAGAATTATCCTGTTATTAACATACAGTACCTACCTTATTGTGACTTTCAATTGTGAAATAATTATATAACATCAGTTCTTGAAATTTAGGGCATCATGATAATTATTTAAATTACTCTGGTACTTAAACAAATGTATGTAAGTATAAAAATTTATATTTTGTTCTTCATGAAGAGGCTACCAGTCTGTTAATATTATTGCAATTCTAACGGAGAAATGTACCTACATGTGAATCATGCATATGCTATGGCTCCAAGTGACAGTACTCAGCACAATATGTTGTATTCTATAAATAAATAAATAAATTAAAAAAAAAAACTGAAAATGGCAAAATCTGCCTGACAGCCCCAAAAATGTCATAAATAGAGGTTTATTACCCTGCTTACTCCATGGGGAAATCTCACAAAATAAAATACTTTTATATATTAAAAAAATGTGATAAAAAAATTATATTTGATAAAAAAATAGTAACAATGAAATTGGGTATTTAATTTTTTGTTTTAAGTAATTAGTGATAGTAATAATAAAATGAATTCATTATTTTAAAAAAGTGGCTTAGATGTAGTTGTCTTCTATAATTTCACTATCCCTTCGGACCTTGTTCAGCAAGACCTCCGAACTTTCCAAAATCTACGGATCAGAGTTATCTATCAATTTATTTTTTCCTATAGCTGTTAATATTATTTACCTTCATGTAAGCAACTTCGGACTCTTTGATTGCCGAATCATAACTTTGCCTTATGTCATATTTTTTTCTAAGACTTGCATTGACATCGTCCAATTGTGATTTTAAGGCAGATAGTTTCGATTCAAGTTCTGATTTGATGTTTTCTTCTTTTTCAATTTCACTGAGGACTTCATTCCTTTTTATTTTTAACGTCTCAATACCTAATAAAAATATAGGTACAAATCACCAAAAAATTAGGACGTTATATTAACTGTGAACATTTATAAATTATAGTACAACTATCATACATTTTACCAGTTCTTGGTTGTACTTTTGAAGAGCTGCTCCCTGCTCGCCCATTTTGTATGCTTTCTAGGGTCAAATGAGTTCAAACATTTTATGAAGCCTCTACAAATTTCCTTGTTATTTATCTGTATCCAAGTCACCGGGCCTTCGTAGTTTCTTCCATAGTCCCCATGTCTTGACTGTTTACCTTTCAGTTAAAACCATATGACACGCTTTAGGTTGTAAACAGTAAAGTTTTACCTAACAAACAAAGTTTGTAAACAAAACCATTGGTGAACCTCCAATGTCCAAAAGTCTATGGCTGTCATCAGCGTAAAACAATAAAATTAACTTTTAAAATAATGTTATTTTATTTTCCACAGTTGGACAGTTGTTAACGTTAAATTTTGTACTACATTTTAAATTACTAAGGGAATATCCTAGAATGTATAATTCAGGAGTTACACTGCCTATTCCCGGCACTTACAGCTATAATATACTTATGCAGTTATTAGTAATACACTCTTTATGTATCAATGAATATTATTAATAAAAACGGTTGTATCTTTTCTTTATGTTATTTTTTAAATTCAAAAAGATATTCTCTGTAAAGAATTGTAGTAATGTGTCTGGGTCTCTGCTCTCCAATATCTGCACATCCTTGATTCTGTAATGGCATCTCAAAAACTTTTCTTAATTCTAGGTTTTTCCTGGTTTTTGATTTTCTACAACAAGAAACTTTTATTGTCTATGTCCAGAGGGCATTATGTTGTTTATTACTTATGCTATTTACCACTTATTTTAGCAGTATGTATAGAAATAATAGTATTATATTTGATAAACCTTCCTTTGATAGCAATGATTTGAATTTAAATGTTATAGTCATAAATTATTGTGATGTTTATAATAAACTTACCGAAAACTATGCTGAGATATGATAATGTATATGTATATCTGCTCATTTTCTAAAAAACTAGTGTTAGTCAGCTGCTAACTTTGTTGGATAACTTGTCATTGAGAGTAGGATTTATGCTAGATATTTGGGATGTTAGCTATGTAATGCCTATTTATAAAAGCGGTGATAAGTCAAATGTTAAAAACTACGTCCCATCAATATCACTTGTCTGATAGTGAACATATTTGAATCTATTATTTATAAGATATATCCACTTATGCCACAAATTATAATCCCGCAACAACATGGTTACCTATCATAACACATTGTAGATGCATTTAATAAACATTGTTATGTCAAATCCATTAAATTTAGTGGTCTGATTGACCAAATTACTTCTTTCAATTAATTAATCTTTTTATGTAAGGTCTTGGTTGAAATGGAAAAGTTAGTGACACGAGCAGGATACGAATCCACGACCTTTGGCTCAATACACCACTGCTCTAACCATGAGCTATCGTGACTTCGATCCACTCAGACACCGCTCGTGACACTAACTTTTTCATTTCAACCAAGACCTTACATAAAAAGATTAATTAGCTGTTATGTCACTTCAATTCACATAGACTTTGGAAAAGCACATGACACAGCCCATCATGACATTTTGATTGTGAAGTTGGAGACATATGGCTTTTATGGCGTTCTTCTCTGTTGGTTTCACTCTTATCTTTTAAATAGATTCCAAATAGTCAAAGTAATTTTTCTGAATCTTTTAAATTTAATGCTATTTCAGGAGTTCCTCAGGGATCTCAATTAGGACCTTTTTTTTATAAATGACATTTATTCTGTGCTTAATTATATACATTTTCTTCTCTTTGCTTATGATTTAAAAATCTTTAAACCTGTTTCTTCTTTTTCTGACCAATTCATCCTCCAAAGCAATTTAATTCTCTTCATTCTAAGTGTTAAATAATAATCTAAATCTCAATACCTCAAAATGTTTCCATATCCGCTTCTCAAGGTGCAATAATTCTAGCAACTACATTTATACAATCAATGGCACCCCCTCAATTCAGCTAACATTATTAAGGACCTCGGCATCTTGTTTGATGCCTTTGCTGCCAAGTCTTTTTTCTAATTTTTGCAATTATATTCAGTGTCAAAAAAAAAAAAAAAGTCTGGTCTGAACCTGAGAACTTTACTTTACAGTGACGAGTTGCCGTGTTAACGCCTTAATCATTGCAGTCACTGACTCCCCCTCTTATTTTTATTGTGTATGTAAAATTATTAAAATTGTCTGACTTTCACTAAATCCTGTAGAGTATAAATTATTTAAATAAAGATGGGTTTTGTTAATAGCAGTAAATAGCATTTTGGAAGATGAATTTACTGACGGAAGAAGAGAATTAACCATGATTAATAATATACAGTATAATATATAGAGTAAATTTTAATTCCAATTTATTAGAGGCTTAAGATAGTCTAAACAAACACACAAAGTTTAAATGTTTTGTGATTTCATTATATAAAGGAAATATATAATTTTAATTATTAAGGAATTAAAATGGTCATAAATTCAACAATTTATTCAAAACTGGGAGCTGTATTATCTTCTCCCAAAATAGCTTTTGCTATTTGTAAGTTTGCTTTTAACTCCTGTAACAAATTTGAACCAGAACAATAAAATAAAAAAAATTAACTGTACTAATTGAAAAGTTAATTTGACTTTACATTACCTCATCATCAAAATGAACATTTCGGCGTCGTTTTTCTCTCAAAGATTTGTACAGTGCCAAGGATAAGATGCCTGAAAAATCAGAATAAGTCATTCTTTTAATTCCTGACTATACTGACCACCATGTTACCTTTGGTTCTTGTGTCTCCTAGCATCAATTTATCATTTATGATCATCAATTCCCTCTCGTATTTTTCTTTTTTAATCAACTCTTCAGTTGCTAATTCTAAATAAGTAATTTTGCTTAATGTGTATAAAATTAATTTGGCTACACTGAAATTAGTATCTTACACATATTTCTTCTTGATGAACAGCAACAGTATAATTAATATTAATGATACTAATAAACGTTAGTAAGCTATCATAGGTATTATTTTTTGTTATTAGTTGTGTTATATTTATTATTTACCAGGAATGTTGAATTAAATCATAATGCTTAACTGCATGCTGTCTTGACGAGATGCAGTCTTAAGGTTGTTCCAAGGTTCCTGGTCATAATGAAACAATATAAGCTCTCAATATATAGATTTCCTACTTATTAGATTAAAGTTTATAATCACATAAAGACACAGTTATGAGTAACATATTTATCACAATTTTTAGACCAAAGATCAGGAATGATCTTTAGATCACTATTCAAAGTAGGTTTATTTATTTTTCAACATTAACTTGTAATTTTATTTTTTTTTATTCTATTTGTATTATTATTATATTTGTTTAAATTAGAGTTGTGGTCTTTTTAAATGTTCATATGTGTAAATCTTGGAGAGAAGTTTGCTTTTGCTCTATTCATTGCATCACCTTTGAATAAGTGTAATCAAAGTTTTAAGTTCTATTAAGTACATAATTTTTAATAAGTTAAGTTAGAAAATTGTCAAAGGATCAGTTAACAGGATAACACCTAGATCAAATCATTGAAGAAGGTAAAATGCACAAATAAACAAAACCAGCTAGAAGAGGCTCAGAAGAATGGATGTAATCAAGCTACAGGTTTAACACCTTGCCAATGGTAAAAAAATTTTTTAGGTTTAATTTTGGCCACAAATCTATAAATAATTATTTAAAAACATACCCTCAATCCTTTCACCTAGTGATCGTATTGCCTCCATTTTAAACTGAGCAACAATGGTATTGTTTGGGTGTAAAATAGATTCCATTTGTTCAACAGAAAGTTTTTTAATATTTGACTGTATTTGTGAAACTTCTAATGGATTTAGCAGGCTATTGCATTTATCACATTTCCATTTTGAGTGAAAGTTAAGTGGTAATATAGGCAAATATGTACCACCACATTTACACCAAAAAGCAGACAAATAACTTCCAAATTCCTGGAAAAAACCCTGTTTTTATGTTATTTACTAAATAATGTTGCAAGAACTTACTGTTGGATCTTGACATCTTAAACATCTGCAAAGAAATTCTTTTGTCATATGCAGGAAAACTCGCCTGCTGTTTGTAGCCCATAAAAGAGGACAGTATGTATTCGTTATCTCTTCACCTTGTGCTATTCGTTTTGTTGCAACCACTATCATCATAAATGGATCTTCTTTTGAGTAAAAATGCCTTGTGTTTGGGGAACAATCATGGTTCATGATTGCTGCCAAAGGATAAAGCCCTCTTAAGCTCAAAGGGGTATCTGCACCAAACGTTATTTCATAAGCTGTGCTATTTAAGACCCCACAGCAATGTTCAATCCACTCTTCATCACTCTCACTGAGAAAATCGCCAACAATTTCCTTTATTTTATAGATCTGAAAATTATATATCAATATAGTTTTTTCTCAATTTTATTAACTTTAAGTACTAATTTTAAAGCACAATATGATTTTTGTTGTTTTGTTATCTCTGATAAACCTTGCCAGCAAGGTATGGCAGAACTACAGGTTCATCACCTTGCAGACCACAAGAACTACTCATATGTGATTTTTGTGATTGCACTTTTGTAACCACCTCTTTGCGAACAGATTCTTTAGAGTTGGCATGCAATTTTTTGATTATTTCACGGTCTTCTTCTTCTACCAATAAACAACGCAATTGAGTCAAAATATGATAAAGTTTTAATGACCACAAATCATCATTTATTAATATTTGTCTTAAAACTTTGCATTCTTTGTCATGCTCAGGGGAGTTTTCACATTCTGAACTGCATACAGGTAAATGACAGTTTTTAAAACATTTTCTCAGTGGCTTTTTGACGCTACAACAAACGATACAAGCTGTAAGCTGCAGTCCTGTCATTCTGGGCCCTGAATTCAATTTAAACAATTAGAATAAGTGATTATAATGAAATCCAAAATTCTGTTGATACCTAGTAAATATTATGTACTTACCCACAACGATAGGAACTTCTTTGAATATTATTTCACCATTTTCAACATTTCTTTTTGCAAACAACCCTTGACCTGCATATTTTGTGTTTCTTACTTCCCATATTACATCTTTCAATAAGGGATTTTTTTTCATCAACAGCTCATTTATATCAGACATGTTTTTAAAATCACTGTATTAATTAATGTTTTAAAGATTCATAGTCAATTTTTAAATGTTAAGTTAAGACGTAGGGCATGTAAAAAATCTGGCGTCGTAAATCTCACACGTGCTAAATATAAAAATATAAATGAGGGCTCAGACAGTTTTTTTACGCAGTATTTCTAGTAAAAATAGATCATTGTTTGTATTGTGTCTACTTATGTCTTAACTTTATACTTTTATTATAAATATTTTAAGGACTTAATTAGTACATTTCCAAGAGGTTGGTAACTCAAATTGTACAATTGATATTGTATAATTGATATGTGTTGGTTAAAAATTAAACAGCTCATTTAGTTTGAAACTACTTGGCAAAGTGACAAGTGCACCATACTTATTTTGATGTAAACCAAATTAAACAAGATCAAAAATTCATATTTTAATAAAAATTATTTAGTTATAATGGTTTGAAAGAAAATCTGCCAAAACACCAGAAAATCATTTAGTGATAGATTAAAATTTAACTAACAACTTTTTTACATAGTTTTGCTCTTATGCGTTACAAAGGTAATAAATTGTTATAGAATTTATTCAATCACTAAATAATTTTTTTGGTTGTTGAATTTTCTTTCAAACCATTATAATTAAATAATTTTTTATTAAAACTCATAAATTTTTGATTTTGTTTAATTTGAATTATGTTAAAATAAATATGTTGTAATTAATGCAATAATAAAAATACACATACTTTGAAATAAAAACAAAATACAATGTCCAGCTTTGTTCTTTGAGTTAACTTTTTTGTTATTTATTTATTTATTTTTTTTATAAAATTATAATCTTTCAATTAATTTCAATCTCTTTTTAGGCAGTTTACTTATCGATATTCAATATATATATTAATAATTTAATAAATTTTATATTTTTCATAATTGAAGCTTAAATATCATTGAAGCCCCTTTAATAAAGTTTTGGTGTATTAATGTAATACTATGTAAACCATTATTTATGATTAACATTTGTACATTTTAGAAGTAAAAATTCATTATTCTAGCGTTTTTCTCACTGTTCTGGATTCTATTACAAATATAGACACCTTATAGTATTTATAGTCAATGCACCACTGCAATGTTCAAGATGATTAGCGAGTCAGTTTCTTCAGTTGGCACTTACATAAACATGAATTTCAATTTTCATTTGTACCTACAGAACTTTAAAGGAGTAAAAAAAAAGCTCTAAAATGACTAGCTATATTCAAATGGCATACAGTATTAATTAATATTCATTAATAGGAAAAGGATTATTAGGCAGATTCCAAATATTTTCTGTATGTGAATAATTTTTTGTAATTTTTATAATTTTTTTTTTTTGCCATTAATAAAGAGTTTACAACTAATGAAATAATTAGCAAGTGGAAATCAAAATTTGCAGGTAAACAAAAAATGGCTGATTTTCTCATTTTTGCAACTTTTTATCCTTGTAGTTATTTTTCTTATTTCTATGATAATTTTGTTTAATTTAGTATAAATAAACAGTTTGTAACAAACAAAAATTACTTATTCAAATGGACTGATCTATTAAATTGGCAGATAACTCAAATAGAAGACAAAGATAATAACAAAATACAAGTCAGATAAGGCAGATTGGCGCCTTTTTCTACTTTCGATTATTTTGGATATTTTTTGTAATTTCTATAGTATTTTGGTTAAATACACCATTAATAAAAGAGTCTATAACAAAATAAATTATTAACAAATAGAATAAATATTAAAATTTGTTCATTGGTGGACCAGACTGCATCTCACGATCTTCAAATAATCATTAACTAACGGTCACTAAACACCACACATTAAAATTTGTGGTGATATTGAAAGGTCAGATTAACATATTTACATTTACCTTTTTGCTACTGCCCATTATTATTGATATTCTTGGTAATTTATATAACATTTTTGTTTAACATAGCATAAATAGTTTGTAACAAAAGAAATTAAACATGTTTCAAAATATAAGTTAGACATAGCGAATTTACTCATTTTTGCTAATTTCCATTATTATTATTTTTGGCAATTTCTATATTTTCTTTAACATAGCTTAATAGACAGTTTATAATAAAAGAAATGATTAAGGCCTTTTTCAGACGAGGCGGTTTGGTTGATTCAACTAAGTTGCCCAGTTGACTCTCAACTAGTTTATTACTGTGTGAAGACTCACACTACGTAACTTGTGGAATCAACCTCTCTTCCCAATGGGAGGTCAGTACATGTTAGAACCCAAGGAAGCAGGAGCATTTCTTGCTCTTCTGCAAAAAGAGAAGCAAAAAAGAAGGACACCCAGTAAAGAAAAGTGTGGGTTTATCCGTTGTAAAATTGGGAATATGAAATTTCGTTTTAGCACTTCTAAAGAACCCTAACTATAAACTTGTGTTTGAATTTAAACTTATCAATTTTTTTGGCCCTTCAAATTTGTCCAATTTTTGAGAAGTTGTCAGAATATCTGATTGAAACAGCTATAATTCAAAAATGGCTAAAAGGATATTGATGTCAAACAGACCATTTGAAAGAAAAAGAATGTTGATTTTTAAACTCATATGTATTATTAAAATATATCAAATATTTCTATAAGAAAATACACAAACTCGCTAAATTATTTGTCAAAAATTAATTGATTGATTTTTTTATGAAAATAATAATCCAATTTTAATGTTTAATACAGTTATAAAATGAACTTGACAATTTTTTTAAAACAAATCATGAAAATCAGTCCACTAGGTTTTGAGAAAAATGATATTTGAATTTCCTGAAAGTCACTATCTAAGGGTATTTGTACCACAAAAGGGTTCGGGACCTATCAACAGTGTAGCAGCTCCTTTCCTTGCAAGAGCATCCACTTCTTCGTTCTCTATACTCCTTTGTGCTGAGACCCAGTAGAGAGTTACTTTACTTTGCAGTCCTAATTTATTTAATTTAGCATTTCAGCATCATATTGAGCTAATGATGTTTGAGCGTAGTGCTCTGATAGTTGCCTGGCATCTGACATCATAACTATGATATTATTTTTGTATCCTTTGTTCTGTAAGCACACCTCTCAATTGTGTGGATTCAGCCTGGAAGATACTGTTGTATTTTCACATGGTTTTTTAATATTTTATTCCAGAGCCGAAAATGCATGTGGCAATACATTAAGCATAGCTCTACAATTAATCTATTAGTTCCTTATGAATGCTGTTTTCTGTTCATAATGTATCAAAATTAAAGCAAGTAGCACTAAAATAGGATGTTTCCTCATGGTTACCTATAGCAACGATTTTAATTGATAATGTACAATTATTGTACTTCAATCATTATTACTTTAATTATTAGAATTAGAGATCGTGATATGTGGTCTGGTGTGATATAGGTTTAGAAAAACATTTTCTTTTTAGTGCCAATGTTTCCATGTTTATTGAGATCATCTTCAGAACACTTTCAACACGACACACAACAGTGTCACCTCTATATAGAAAACACACACTTTGAGCCCAGAAGATGACCTCGATAAAGATCAAAATATTGGCACGATAAAGAAAATATTTTTCTAAACCTACATTACACCAGACCACATCTCACAATCTCTAAATAATCAATACTAACGGTCACTAAATATTACATATTCAATCTTTTGTGTGTTCAGGTGTAATATCTGTACCAAACTGTGTGCATGGAATTGCATGGAAGATGCTGGTGTACTTGGATCCATCAGTGTACCAGATGGTGCCATTATTGATGGAGACACAAAATGAAAAGTTTATTTCTTTTTTCAAATTTAATTTTTATACCATAGCGGATTTGTTAGTAAATTTTCATACAAGGTGAATCCATTGACTTTTCCAGAAGTGATAGATATTAAACTTAGATAAAACTTAGATATTAATAGTTTGGGGTGCTTTAGTGCTGCAACTGTTTTCTGTTTTAGATACAAGTACTAGAAAGATTTTTGTTTAAATCTTTTTTAATGTTGTGAAGGCACATGCACTGGATATGCAAATTTCAGCAAAGAGTAGTTTTTGTGCAAAAATCATTAAAAACTATTTTTTAAATTAAATTGTTACAATATAATTGCTCCAAGCTGCTTTTTCGATTTTTTAAATGGCCAGGATAGATTTAAATTATTTTCCAATCCCACAAAATGGAATGCAGTCTCATAAATGGATTTAAAAGAAACGTGAAGCTTGTCCTGGAAGCTGATTAATGATGTTGATAAACTTAATATTTTTTTAATATGATGATTTGATAGAAAGTTAATCTGGATAATTATGGTCACAGATTAAGTGGAAATATTTTGAAAACGGAACATGCTATGACGTCAAAAAAGTCAAATGTAAGATGCACCGTTAACGCGGGAATACCCAGTACCCGCGCAAATACCTGTTAACTTTGTAAAGAGTACGGTTACAGTACCTGGGATAGATAAAGGGCTACCCTAATAAACAATCACAAAACACAATAGAGTTCAGTAGCCCTTGTAAAATACTTTCTAAAGTTCAAACGATTCCATTTTTCAAGTTTATTGTACATCGGTTATGCAGTCGTGTTGTGAAATGTTTATGTGTTGACGTTGATCGTTTCCTAGTCTGACCTAATAAATTGTGCTTATTTAATAAACAAATACATACACATCGTGGTAATGTCTAGTGCACAGGGACAAATTAATTTTCATAAAAAGAAAAGCCTTGTTAAGAACATGAAAGGAAAGGAGAATAAGTACCATTCTCCTGTAAAAGATGAACAGAAACGAAATTCAACAGGTGCCAAGAAAAGAGTCACTCCAACAGGTATTTTTTTAATATTCATATTTCGCATCATTGATCATGATTTGTATTGAGTCTTATGCTTTACAGACAGTGATAATGAATGCAGTCCTCCTAAGCAGGCCAAGAGCCCATCTGCTTTAATAGAAAGACTGAATTTGGAAAACAACAAAAAAAAATCAGGTATGTCTGCTTGAAATACTATACTCAAATGCAGGAGCATTTTAAAACCAATATCTAAAATTGTACATGATATGTTTGTTCTTTCTTTTCTTTTTGTTTTAAATATTGCTTAAAAACAACATAAAAGTCAATCTATAATGTAAAACATGTTTTATAATCTTGCATATATTATATAATTTTGTTTTTCAGACTGCAACGATGAAAGCAGCCCTCCTAAACCACCAAATGGTCCTGTTGTATTACTAGAGAGGATGAATTTGGAAAATATTGAAGACAGTTGTAAAACAAGTATTTATATATATATTCATGATTTTGATTTAATAAACTACTATTTACAAAGAAAGCAGAAACTAGGATTTTGTTATGAAGTAGAAAGTTTGGGGTAACCTTATAAAATAGATTGATTCCATCTGCACAGGGAGGTCTTTGGAGTTCAATAACTTTGATTTTTTTTTTAAATAATGATAAATACAATACAATTAGTCTGGATTTTCATACTCATAAAACACATATGCATATATCTATTGCACACCCGCAAGAAAAGTTACTCAACTCAAAAAAAGAAAATTATTACAGGAGAGACAGATGGAAGTTTAATTTTTTTGATTTATGTATTAAGTACACACCATTACGGTTGTTGTAAATAAAAAATGTAATATCAATAGTCTTTCGTTTGTCCAAAGCGAAAACACAAAACTTTAAAAATCCAGTTGTACTACACTTAAAAAACTACCACTTTTTGAGTTGCGACACTTTTGTTGCATATATGGCTCTCAGTAATTTAAGTTAGTTTGTTTGCTCTAACGGTAATGGTGGTCAATGAATGACTGTAAAGGTATTAATTTCTTTGTGATAGTGATAGACAACATACAAACCTAACAAATAATCATAAATATTCGTTATGAAAAACACATTTGTTGTAATATAATATTCAGTAACAACTGACTTTGCTTTTTTCTTCAAGACCTCGATCCAGAGTGTTCATGAGTGAAAAATGCGATGCTTCTAGCAATGAAAACCAAAATAGTTCTAATAGTAGTACTACTTTGCTCTTATAATGAAAAGAAAAACGCAGCATAATAACGATGAATGCTGTCAGATTCAGTTAAGGACATGCAATCTTATTTTTTCACTTAAAATATAATTGTGGTAATTCAGTATTTACAATATTTCAATTTGTTGTAACATTTTTGACCTGTAACTTTGAAGTTGAGCATTCTCAGATTTGTTAGTGAAACCTAAAGAGCCAGAACTATCAGCACTATAGGTCAAACTTTTCCTCTCATTTTCCGTCATCAAAGTGCAACAAAAAGATATGTATATCCATAACACTTTGCATAAAGGTGGAATTTGAAAACCGAGAGACTTCATTACGATTAATGGTTGTCAACAAATTTAGAATCGGTTTGTCCACGTGATGTAAAAGTCATTTTTACTATTTAAAAAAAAATATATATACAAATAAATTCTAAATCATGAATTTATCAATGCTCCCTTGACACACAAGAGTATTACATTAAAAAGATTTATAGCATATAACATTGTAGGGGGGGACCGCGGTAGCCGAGTGGTTAGCATGAGAGACTCTCACGCCGCGGTCGTGGGTTCGATTCCCACCGTCGCCTCTGGCCCTTTTTTCTCGATAACCCCCAATTTGAACACACAAGAATTCGTACCATGGCTAATATGCAAGATCATAAGGCCAATAATAATTTAAAAAAAAAAAAAAAAAAAAACGTAGATTTATATTTTATAACACCAATAAGTTATTTCCGAGCAGCATAAATTCCTTCACTAAGCAAGAAAAAACTGACCTAACTAGAAATGTGCCATTTTTCCTGATAAATACTTACACCAATGCTATAAAGTTAGACATAGAACTATTGTCGTTAATGGTGACAGTATGTTCCCACCAATTCAAAAGTGACTCATGGCGTTGTCTTGCAGCTAAAGAGTTCACTTACAGCGATGTCATTTATCCTGTAGTATCACAGACCTGAATAAACACTAAATAATATGGGTTTTTAGAATTTTTCGACTTGTGTCGCTTTTCTTGTGAGTGTGTGATATGTATATTGAAGTAGTCCTTATAAATTCTGTAATGTCTGTCAATAAAGTATTACATTTCGAAGGTTGAATTGATTATTTCATTTTCAGATAAAAGCCTTTCTGTTGCTATCAGAGCTCTGCATACAGCACAGCCCTGTGGACTGCCTGGTAGAGAAGGAAAAATCAAAGAAATTTCAGAGATTCTGACCAAAAGTCTGGAAACCAAATCATCAACTAGTTTATACATCTCTGGACAACCTGGAACTGGAAAAACCGCTTGTTTAAATTACATAATGGCACAGCCAGAGGTATTAACATTCAACTTGAATTGCACTTTTTTCTTCAATAACAACAATAATTTTTTAAAATTATTTTAAACAATTGGATTTTATTTTAGATAAAATCGGGGTACAAGAATATTTATGTGAACTGCACTGGTATGAAATCTTCTAAAGCAGTGTATAAGAGGATAGCAGAAGAACTGAACATAAAAGTAAAATCCACAAGTGAAACACTGTCACACAATACAATTTTAAATTATTTAAAAAGTCCTCACAAAATGATGTACGTTAAATTTCAAACTATGGTACATTTTGCAACTTATGTTTTACAAATGGATAATTTTTTAACATTTATTTTAGATTATTGGTCCTGGATGAAATGGATCAGTTAGAAAGCAAACACCAATCTATTTTATACTCTATATTCGAATGGCCTTCAGTTACAAATTCACGAATAGTTTTAATAGGGATCGCCAACGCTTTAGATCTTACCGACAGGGTGCTTCCGAGATTACAGGCCCGCGTAGAATTGGCACCGACGTTGATTCACTTCACACCATACACGAAGGAAGAAATAGTGAGCATAGTGACCAGCAGATTAACAGAAGTAAGTAAAATAACATGCATTTTATTTATTTATATTTAATACAATGTTTCTACTATTTTAAAGGCAGGAGTTGGAAATATTTTGGCCGGTGGTGCGCTTCAACTATTAGCTAGCAAAGTTGCTTCAGTTTCAGGAGACATACGGAAAGCGCTAGATATAGCTAGACAAGTTATTGAACTAGCACAAATGAAAGATGAATGTAATTTTTTATTTATTTTTTTATTAGTTTATTATTAAAATTATTTTATTACTAAGGGGTTTTTTAAGGTGGAAAAACGGTTGCTTTGCAAGATGTACTATCTGTTGTGCACAATGTATATAATACAGCTTCTAGTTTAAATAAAAATGAAGAAGACGATGCTGAAGCGTTTCCTTTACAACAGAAATTATTTATTTGTACTGCAGTTTTAATTAGGCAAAATTCAAAATCGAAAGAACTTACAATAACAAAAGTAAGTTTTAACAAAATTCACTATTCTTACTATACAACTAATGGGAAATCATTTTTAATTATAGTTACATGATGTTTACAAAAAAATATGTGAAAAACGTAATATAAGCTTCCTCGATCTTTCGGAATTTTTAAACCTCGCACAACTAATCGAAGCTAGAGGGTGTATTAAAATCCAAGGGAAAGTGAAGAACAGACTATCTAAGGTAAAGATGGAGATTTAATTTTTATAAAATGATAAACCAAAATTTTCATTTAATTTTAGGTTATACTACAATGGGACGAAACAGAAGTGTCAAGCGCTCTTAAGGACAAGCAGTTGCTTTCTACAGTTGTGGCAGATACATCTTGTCTTTAAAAATTATTTAGCCTTTATTTTTTGGGGACTGAATCTATTTATGTTCTTTTATTTATAATTTTTTTTACACTTCTAAAATATATACATGCATTACTAAAGAAATGTGTTAAATTTATCTGATTCTCTTACATTTTTGTATAAAAACGTACATAACAGGCGGGTTTGTTTTTAAATTTTACATCCACCAAAATCTTTTTAAAAATTATTAAAATTATCATTATATATATCCTTTTAAAAGATATATGACCATTTTACAAACCCCCCCCCCCCCAAAAAAAAAATTATATAAGCTAACAAAATTATTTTTATTTATAATAATGTATTTGGATCATACTTCTACAGGATCATTTCTACACTAGATTTTCTTACAATCTGGCTACTATTGCAGTGTATTGAATAGGGGACCGTGGTGACTGAGTGATTTTGGTGTCCGACTTGTATTTGCCATGGTAGCGGTTCTGGGTTGAAAATTTCAAATCCTGGCAGAACCCATGGCTTTTTAATTGATAATGATAGTAATAGTGTTGACTAAAATTGAGGACTTGGGATTGGAAGGACTATTCTTTGGATCTTAGAAGATTTAGCGGTGCCCCATTGGTCAAGTACATACATCCATATTGGTTTGGCTGTTGTCTTGTAAATTGTCAATTTTTTTTTCTTGAAACATTAGGTTTGGATTCCAATAGTCTGTAAAGTAATCTGAAACGTGTGTTTAACAACTGTCGTTTTAGTCATGTGTTGGTTAGTTTTTAGTCTAGATGGAACCCAAGGTAGCGCATGCAGATTTTACTTCAAAGAGTGAATGATACATGGGGGTTTTGCTTTCATTTTTATTCGTGAGTGTTTGCTCCATTCAGCTGCCTGGAGCTTTTTCCATTGTGGGATCAGGAACAGAGGATAGCATAGCCGCCATGTTGTTGCCAAAGTATGCAAGAAAGGTAAGAGTGAAGGCAGTGTAGAGGAGGTGGATTGGTCTAAGTACTCCTGCTCTCAGAGGACAATAGTCAGTAGGTCAATCCTTGACAGACTCTCAAGGTCTGTCAGATATTTCAGCATTTCACAGTTTTCAGTGATTTGAGTTTGAAGCTTTTGTAGTTGATCAGAGGTTTGGTTTTTGTTTGTCAAGCGAGAATAATCAAACAAGATGATCAAGCTGCAAAAATATATTTGCCATACCCTTACCGGCCACAAGAGCTACGATTTACAGTAGACACGCGGCAGACTGAAGGGTTTATCAAAAGAAAAATCGAGTGGGTCATTCATAGTAGTAGCATTGAGCTGACACAAGTAGTGGTTGTATTAGTTTTGAAACCAAGCTGTAAGGTGGTTAAGATTTACCCTACAAGTCGCTTTGGAAAACGCCTTGTATTCAGTCAGCCTGGACACATGACGTTTTTTTAGAGATTCATACTGCATGCCACTGCTTGCTGGCTTCTTCCTGTTTTATTGAGTTCCAAAATGCAAAAATAGTTGTCCAAAACGCAATTGAAAATAATACTGATTTTGGGACATGAGAACTCCAGAATACATTGATTCGATGAAAATCACAATATGTGTATTTATTTATCTCTTAATAAGACAGTTGAGGAATACTAGAAAAGGTAACTAATAGAAAGAACATGAATTAATCAGTGTTTAAAAAATTAGCAAATTTATTTCTTGAAAAAAAATTCTTTGGTAACCGTATGCCGAAATTTCTTACAAATGGCACTTATTCTCAACCGATGCAATAAAATGTTTCATTGAACCGCTGTGGAAGTAATTGGCCTTGCTGTAGTGTCAAACATTTATAATAGTTCAATTATCTTTGAAATAAATGTTTCATAGATCTTATACACTTAACAACTGTCAACCATTGGAGTATTTTCACCTGTTGCAATTCGATTAAGCATTTTCTGTTTTAAAATTTATTATTGGGGCTTCATTCGCCACTAGGTTTAGACTCATTTTCATTTAATTTTCAGTCCATCACCTTTGTGATATAAAAATGGATGGGAAAAAGAAACATCAATATAAAATAAGAACTGAAATGCCTTTTATTTCTTTACAAAATTTGATTAATAGATGCATTAACAGACTTGACTTATAAATTTCAAATACGTAATCAACAATTACATAAATTTCTTAAACGATATGATTTGAGCTATATAATGACCACTTTTAGTTTGGTAGCAATTATTAATCTGGCAGAGTCTATTATGCCACACTGGTGATAATTTTGTTTTGCATCAGGCGAACTTTGTATAAACAAGTCATGTTTAGTAACAAAAAAAGAACTTTTATATACAATACAGATTTAAATTGTTTAAAAATGAATCAATAAGCAATAAATTACTTAACAAGTCCTAAAAATATATTATTGGACTTTGTACAGCCACTAGAGAAACTAAAACTATAAAATATTAAATTTGTGTTCATTTTATATAATTTACAATGTTATAACTTTGTCGAGACAAAGAAGTTAAAAGGAAAAAATCCAATGGAAGGTTTATCTTACATTCAATTATATATACCCAAAACATTTGAGTGCAGCTTCAAAAATATACAAACGGTAGGTTGCCACTGTACCACTGTTTTAGTTTTTTTTGCTTTACTCTTTTTTTATTATTAATTTTTTCTTTAACAACCAAATTGTTATCTAATGTGTGTTTTCAAAATTGGTAATCCTTGTGTTGAATACTCTTATTTGGGTTAAACTGAAAACCTCCGGGTGTTGTTTGTGGTGCAACATTTACATCTTCTTCATCCTAAAATGTCAATATAAAAATAAAATCACAGAGAAATGATACAAAATAAATTTTTAAAATAATACCTCAGAAAAGTACTGTTCGATAATTTCGTACGCTAACTTGTAAATATCAACGTTCTCATGGCTTTGTAAGCTTTCAATTTTATCCAAACCTGCAAACGATTGAACGATTAGTACATTTCTACTCCAAAGAGTATTAAACGGCTCAAATACCTCCACATTCTTCAATTGCATTTGCTATTGCCTCAATCTGAGGTGACGCTGCTCTAAGAATGTTGTTCAAGCCATCCAGGACTACTTGTATAACTTGATTGTCTTTGCAGTCCAAAAGGGCACAGAATGGAGGTATTACGCCTTCATCGATGAGCTGCAATATCTGTTCTCTATTTCCACTTATTGTTAGATTACTAATAGCCCATGCAGCTTCCCTCTTTGTTTGAAATTCTCCCTTTAAAAAAATAAATTAATTAAATAAAAATGTCAAAAAATAATAAAAAAATAAACAATACTAACAAGTGCGCACATGAAAAGTAAATATTAATATAATATATAAATATTAATTATTGACATATTAAATGACAGTAATAAATTAATGATCGAGTACCTTTTTAGACCCTTTTTCATCCCAATGTGCTTGATTTTACTGTACATAACTTACTGGGAGTGTGCATAAGTTTTTTGGTTTTCAGCAAAAAAAAATCAAATTTTCAAAATATAAATGAATTTTATATTTAATGCCGAACATGTTTTCCATACTGCCAACATTCTGGTAGCAGAAATATGCCCTATCTGAGGGAGTGGAACAATGTGTTTCTAAACAAGAAAAATTGAAGGAGTGGGGTCTGGAGAGTAGGGTATCTGTTGCCAGCCTAATTCAGCGATTAGCATTGTCATGGTGAAACGTGACGTACCTATTCACCAGGGCTGCTTCATCTTTTTCCATTACGAAAGCGTCCTGATCCACATAAATTTTCACAGGCATCTGTCGCTCTATGTCTGAGATCAAACGTGCCAATGCCTTAAATGAATTTTTATCTGCTTCCATGTCGTATGCATGGCATTTTATTCTAGACTGACTTTTTGGAATCGCTTTCAGATCTTTTCCCACCCTAAAGCTAACAGGGCTAGCAGGTAATAAAGGATCGACTTTATAAGGGTAAAAGTCAAAATTTGAACAAACCGGAAAAAACATGTATGCACCCAATGTATACAAACTGCTTAGGTAGTGAGATGTTTTATCGAACAAAATAAACTTACTTTACACAGATTAAGAATTATATTGGGAAGTAAACCAGCGTTAATAACAGCTTGAACTTGGGGCTGGCTTCCTGCTGTAATGTTAGACAGAAACCAAACAGCCTCCTGCAAAAACCAAATTTTAAAGTAGAAAACAAATATTAAAACATTAAGAACTAATGTAAAGAATTGACCTTGCATATCTTTTCTTTAGTATGCGTCAGCAGAGCAGGGAAATAAGAGAGGACTTCACAGTCAATAACGGCTTGAGTCTGTTCATCAGTTCCGGTGACAATATTTCCGATTGCCCTCAAAGCAGCAGTCTGCACTTTGACTTCTTTGTAAGCCAGCAAAGGTACGAGGTTAGGCAGAATTCCACTTTCTAAGACCATTTGAATTTGCTCATTGCCACCATCCGTCAAATAGCTGATAGCCCAAGTAGAGTCAACAAGGATCTATAAAACGACAATCCAATAATATAAACGATAAATTGATGTCATTTTAATTTTATTTTTTGAGTCTTACATTCAAGTCACTGTGGTGAATAAGCAGGTTTAAAGCTGGAAGCAATTCTGCTATTGTTTGGTTGGTTGGAGGAGGCTCCTTGTTACGGCATAGATTCACTATAACCCATGTGACATTTCGGAGAAATGAAATTGGTGTTTCAGATTTTACAAAAGCCAACAGAAGAGGGATGACTCCTAAACTTATTACATAATCCCGCAGTAGAGCTCCATCGCCTATTATGTTGCCTGTATATATAAATTCATTAAAAAAAGGCATAATCAACACTGAATAAGTACAACAATAAGGAAATAAATATTATAATCAATTGAATAATTCAGTTTGAATTTTTTTTTTTTTATAAAATACTATTATATAAAAAAAAATCACATTTTCATTTAGAAACAATTAAATATTCATTAATAATTACAATTTTTATACACAGTCTATAATTTATCTGCTCAAAGGCAACTGACTTACCTAGTGCCCAAACTGCTTGTTCACACACATTTTGATGTTCTGAGAGTAAAAGTTGAATGAAAATAGGCACTGCACCGGCACCTACAACAGCATGCGTTTGTTGCGAAGTACCTGACGCAATATTAGTCAATGCCCATGCAGCTTCAAACTGGAGTTTCGGACTGAGGAGAATAAAATTTAAAAATGTTATAAAATGACATTTTTCTTAAATAAATAAAAATACATACAAATCATTGTTTTGTAAGCAATTAATCAATACAGGTAGAATCCCATGTGATATAAGTTCATTTATAGGAGGATGTCTCTCTGATGAAAGTAATTTCCTACATATTTGAACCGAATCGAATTGTACTTGAGGGGAACCATTTTTAGCATCCTCTACTAAACGTTCAAAATCTACTGCGTCTAGTCTTCTCTCTTCATCGTCTGAAATAACAATATGAAATGGTCTTCTTAATAAACTTTCATTAAAATTAATTTAATGATTAAAAAAAAAATTGCATTTGTTATTTTAAGGTGACTGCCAACACACATTTAATTAACTTACAGGGGGGAACACATTTTTCGATGGGATTACAAATTGCTGACATTAATCTTATACAAGATAAATAGCGTGTTGAATTTATCACAAAAAGTTCAGAGTTCATCGACCTTTTGGATTTTCGTTATGAATACATATAAAATCTGCTCTATTGTGAAGTGGTCTCTAGGAAGTTTGACAAAGTTCTACTTGATATTGTAGTTTGACATTTCACAGTGAATTCTGACAGATTTGAATCCTGTTTTCAGTAAAAAATGTCGACCACTTTTTCACTCACAAACACTCTGGATCAAGGTATGGTCTTGACGAAGAAAGCAAATTCTGTTGTTACTGCCAAGCTTTTGGCCTATTTTAAGTCATCATCTGGGCAAAACAATCGTAAATATGTCTAGAGGCTATGTCAAATTTGAATTGTTAGGACTGAGTCGGTCTTCAAGGAAATTTGAGATCACCTGTAAAAAACTTAAATATGTCAATCTGTAGACATATGTACGAATGTTTTGCCCTGATGATGACCTTACGATAGGTCAAAAGCTTGACAGTAACAACTGAATTTGCTTTCTTCTGCAAGACCATACCTTGATCCAGAGTGAACGTGAGTCTGGCAGACATAACAATGAAACTAGAAAAAATCCAGGATGACTACTACACATTCAACACCATGCGGACTTCACCAATACGATTTTACACAAAACCTTGTGCATTTTTTCAAATTAAAACCTTATCCTACAACTATTGAGCACTAGGCCATAAAGGAATGGTAATGTAGAAGTGGACAAACTAACTGCATTTACAAGTCAGTAGGCCAAGGAACTTAGTAGGAACTAACTGACTCATTTGATTAAACAACAACAATAACAAGGTAAAAAGATAATAAAATTACAGAATTAACATGGTGTATTATTGTTATTTTTATAGGTAGTAGATATAACAAATACTCCTAACCGTTGATTAATGATAATAAGCTCAAATCTGCACACGCATATAAATATATACAGGTGTGTACAGAATTTAGCCTATCACTTCTAGCAGCCCACTGGAAATTCCAGCTTTTGTAGTAATTTATTGTAAATTACCAGCAGGCCTTGAGAATCACCTATCCCAGATGTTGGCAGTCCAGAGGCATACCTTGGTCCTATCTGTCCAGCTGCCAAGGTTGGACTCCATGGGCTGCCAACAGCTAGGTTTCAGGGTATTTCAGCACCCAATGAAATCGAATGGCCTTATGAACGTTGCATATTAGCCAAGGTACATAATGAGATATGTATGCAATGTGTATTTTTTCATGGGGGGGGGAAGGTTTGCATAAAAATAGACTAAGGGCAACAGTGGGAATCGAACCCACAACACTAGAATCTATGAGCCGAGAGTATATCACACTAACCACTTGGCTACCAAGGACCCCCACACACACTATCACTAAAATACATTCTTTCTTATCATATTCCACTCACTCAGTTAGGTTGGTGACATCCTGTTATGACAGAAACGTTCAACATAAATGTTCATCCCATGGTCCAAAAAGGTAACCTACCTTGGAATGAAGATTACATTTGGGCCCTCACATAACGAACAGGATCGCCAAAGCTAAACTTGCTTTAAGAGTTTTGTTCCTACTAATGTCCAAAGAATCGAGATACCGGTATGCAACAAATGCCTTATTAATATTGTTGTCAAACCCATGCTATTATATGCATGTCCTGTATGGAGCCTCACCTCCAAATCAAATATGCTAAAAATTCAATAAATGCAGAACAAATTTTTAAGGCTGGTGACATCTCGCAGATGTACTCCTTGAAGAGTCCAAAATTTCTTGGATCTACAACAAGGTGAAAACTCACACCATAAAATTGTATTGTAAGTTTGCCTCAAGCAAAAATCTCTTCAGATCTATAAAAAAGTACGGCACCCTGATTCAATGGAAGCATAAACGGATAAAAACGATTCTGTGATAAATAATTTGAATATACATAATGTTTATTTACAAATATATTTATTTCTTCACAGATGAATTTATTATTTATGAATTATTTATTCATCTATTTATCTACTTATTTAGTTATGGTTACTTTCCTTCACATGTACATAGTCTTATTCCCTATTTATTTATAATTTATGTATGTATTTACCTATTTATATTAGATATATTTATATTATTTTTAATATTATTTATTTATATTATTTATGCATGGATTCCACTTAAATAATTCTTAATTTTCTTCTTATAACTTATTAATTTTAACTCTGAATTACAAGTGTCAGGGGGTTTTCCCTGCCAATTGTACTGTCAGCAAAGAAAATGAAGTAAAAAAGCCAATGTTACATAGTCATAGACATTTAGTTAAAGATTATAAAAGTGCAGCACTTAAATTTAAGAGTCAGAACGCATATTGTAATGTTGTGATTAATAAATGTTACTTCTTTCTCTTAAGTTAGGTTGGTGGAGCACTTGATATTGAGGGTAGATGGGTAGTCAATATCCCATCATCTCTCACACGGCACATTCACGCCAATAAATACATGCTAGGGACACAAAACAAGGTACTGTATACGATAAAACAACCATTTAGGAACAGGGAACCCAAATAAATATTGGCTGCCATGCTCATCCACAATTCTATCGAGTGGAGCCAAGAGAGCCAAGGAATCGCACCCTTTAATTAGATGGGACACATTGAATAACCTTTCTCTGCATTCCGAAAGCAAGTTTTGGCCCGAAAGTAAGTGTCCAAGTGTCAACCCTAAATGGCCTATTCTTAACTGGGTGAGGTTGATTCTCCTTCCACCACGTTCTTTTAATAATGATTCATAAAACAACCCTATTTTCTTCAAACATCAGAACAGGGGATCCAGATATTCGCTGCCATGCCAAAGCACAATTCTCATATGGGGGGCATTCCTACATGCTCTCTATACAGAGACAAGGAAATGCACCCTTCAATTAGTTGAGACACATTGAACAACCATTCTCTGCATGCTGAACATGTACGCAGGCTTTTTGCCCAAAAGTAAGTGTCCGTGTATCAACCTCATCGGGTGAAGAAGACTCTTCTTTTACTAGTCAGATCCTCTGAGGGCCCCCATCGACAGTGCACTTCATACATAAGCATCATAAGATCCAGCCGTCAGGCACGGCCACTTTCTTTTTATCATGTTTTTTTATTGTATTTTAGTATCAGAGGGCTGAAATGCAGTGGTTAAGACCAGAAGTTTGAAATTCCCGGCCTTAGAGGCTCATTGTCTAAAGTTGTATTTGTTATCTATTATATCAGCATTGTCTTAATATGAAGGAAGGCCAAATATAGGCCGAAAGCTTGATTAACATCTGACAGTATTGCAGTATCAAGTCAACAAATTGAGGACATTCATTGAAAACACAGAAAGCTACTTGATTTACTTTAATTAAGATTAATTAGACATTTTTTCAGATAATGTTTATAATCATTTACTTGGGCGTACTGAAGTCAAAAGTTGATACAATTGTGGATTTTAAATATGTAAATCGATATTATTTAGTGCTACATATTTATTTTTAATATAAAACAAACTGCTTGTCATTATTTATATGTATTGAGAGCTTGGCAACGGGAACCTTTTTACTTCGGGAATTAAATGCGGTTGGCAATCGGTTTCGGGTATACGTTTGATGGAGAAAAAATTGAATTACCTGTCGAGTTCGTCGGGGCATTTCTTCGTTTTTGTAGAGTTTCCTCTCGTTTATTTTTCCTCAGTTCAACTGTGACTTCGTTCCTCCTCCGCCTCATTTCCTGAAGTTGAAATTTCCATTGTTATGATCGTCCGGATTAAAAAAACAAAACAAAATAGTGGAGAAAAAGGAAGTAAATTCGTGAGAGAGGCATAACTCAAGATATTACTAGGAATACAGCCGTCCGGAGGAAATGAAAGTCGAGACGGACAGGTTAAATAATGGGAAAAAAATCAATATTTTAAACAACAAAGGAGGATTCGCGACAAAAATACTCACATCGAAGTCCTTTCCTTTGTTTTTAAAAACCTGCATTCGGTTTTTAACTTGCTGATCAGACGCCATTCTAATATGATCTCGTCTTAGGGTCTTTATAAAAGAATCGGCCTAGAACGATTTCCGACCCAATTCAACCAGTCGGCAAAAAAAAAGCTGCGACCCTTTTAAACGGCGGGCCCACGTGTACAAAAGAATTTCAACAGATTAATATTTGGACCGAAAATAACGCATTTAACTTTAAAAATGATCATAACAAACACTGTTCTTTTGTGGTATAGGTCACGTAAAAACTCATCGAAACACGTTTTGTGGTGGAAATTGAATGTTAAATAGAAACAAGTCAATGACGTCATGATAGACACTCCGCCAACATGCTTTTGATTTTGTTTTTGTTTTGTTTTGTTCAATTTTTACGTTTGGAAAAGACCCTTGAAATAATTTGTCGGGCGAATCATTTTTTAAAGATTTTATTATTATTATTTTCTAATCGTTTTCCCCTTCTATATTGTGTCAGCACGGCATCACTTTCTCTGAAGGTCATCTATTTTCTCACACTCAAAAACTTATTGCAGTATTTTTTCTTCTTCTCTCTTTCTCCCTCCATTTCTTTTACCATAAACGAGCCGGAAGACAAAATTAAAAACTGTTATGTGCTTAGTTTCCACTTAACTTTGAAATCGAATTTTATTTTAGCAATACCGTTTCTAGAGGTTAATTTATGGTTATAAGCGTTTAGAAGTTTGGAATCCTATGGATATTTATCTTTATATTGACTTTAAGTACTCTAACTGGTTGAACTTAAAAATTCAAGACTGACGCTGTTTCAACAACCGTTATAGTACTGTATAATAACTTGGATATTTATAAAATTATAATCAACTTTGCAAAAGTTAAACTGCTTGGAACAGTGTTTTGTAAAAAATGAGCAAATACTCATCTTCTTCCGACTCTTCAGGCTCCCACAGGAAAAAGAAATCCAGATACAGGTATTTAATATAATTTACGTTATATTGTAACCATTTTGAGTACAGGGACTCTAATGAGAAAAATTCGTAACTACAATCTACCTTAAATATTATTAAGTAATGTACTCCAAATTTTGTGAAATTAGAGTCGAATTTAAAGTCACATTGAAAATAGATATGAAATTTTGGCTGCCAGATAACAGATTGAAGAAGATCTGTCATCAAAAGCAGAAAAAAGTTAAATTATGTTATGATATGCCAGTGATGGAGCTTATTATTTAAGATTAATGTTACAGCTTGATCATAGTCATCATCCTAGTTTGGAGTTGGGTCGCTTTAAGTGAGGCAATGCCAATATTTCCTTCACCATTTACAGAACTATGATCAAGCTATGGACACATAATCCAAAAAATGTTTTATATCTGTGATTGTGTAATTATGTATTTCATATCTTGCATTCTTTTCTGAGTACTTTTGTTATTTACACTTGGTCTGTACATACTTATTAAAAAGGAAGACTAGGGGCATTGGTGACCACAATGATATAGGCGTTGACACGGTGCTCATCATGGTAAGGTAAAGGTCACGGGTTTGAATCCAGCAGCCCTGCATTCGAACCCGACATACCTGCAAATGCGCTTTTTTCAAAAACCAACAAAGATTCATATAATCTCGTAGTTGAAATACCCTCACGGGGGAAGAAAAAGGAAGACAGCAAAACACAAGCAACATTCACTATCTTAATTATTAAGATGATAATTCCAGGGATTTTTTTTTTTAACAACAAGTTGTTATTGTTTTAGGTCTCGGTCGTCTAGTTGTTCCTCTTCTAGTAGTAAGTATTCTTCAAGAAAAAAGAGTAAAAAATACAAGAAACAAAGGCGGTCAAGAAGTAAAGAAAAGAGATTAAAGTAAGGTAGTTTGAATATTTAGAAATTTAAAGTAATTTGTGGTCATTTATCAGGATTGTTAAAATAATTAATAATTATAATAATTACATATAATTGCATTGCATTAACTTTATGCGAACAAAGTCATAACATTGTATAACAGCAAGTCTAAAACGAAATTTTGATTTAAGACTTTTTAACAATTCTCTTGACCACAAATTATAGACTTTATGAGAATTGATAGTGAACTTTCAATCCACACTCATTGTGCTTAATTTTTAAGGTGCTCAAGAAGGCTTTCAAGGGATCGAGATAGACATTCCAAACGTTCATCTTCCCCGTCATCAAAATTTAAATCAAGTAAGAGCAGAAGGTCAAGTTCTAGAAATCGTTCGAACACATACAATTCTTACTCAAAAGGACGAAGCCCTGGGAGATACCGGAGATCGCATTCTGGTGATTCTCACTCGTCATCTCGTAGGAGTAGATCACTCTCTAAAAACAGGACCAACTATTCAGAAAGTAGATCTCGTTCCCAGTCACAGAAACCAAAAAATCCTAAATCTCCAGAAAGCTTGCGATCACAGAAAGATGACGATAACTTGCTAGAAAAGTTAAATAAAGCTGCAATGAAAGCTATGGCAGAAAATGCTAGATCTAGAGAGCTAGGGGCTTTCAATGGTATTGTTTTTGTTTTTTCCGTGTAGAAATGTGAATGTTTATTTATTTGTTTTTAGAACCGCCACCTGACAGGGATGCAATTTTAAAATATATCAACTCCAATAGCTTTGCGCCTCAAGGTTTTTCATCAAATGTTCAAAAGCAAAAAGAGGATTTACCAACAATTTATGAAAAAAATGATCCTGTTTATAAAAAAGAAGTGGTTACTACAGAAGAACCTGGATGCCTTTTAAACCCGAATGTAAATTTTTATTTTATTTACTTTTAATTAAAAGGTTGTATTCTAATTGTTGTTGTTGTTGTTGTTGTTGATAGCTTCTCATAGATGACTACGAAGAAAAGCTGAACCGATGGGTGAAGAAAATATACCAAATAAGACAGCGATCAATATACGGGGAGCCGTTAAATTTCAGCTGAAAAGATATGAAAAATATACTATACATAGTGTGAATAAAATGTCATTACATTTTTAATCTGATTTGTATAAAATGTGTCCTAATTTAATACTTTAGATTATAATAATATTTTGACATGCTGACTAAAAATTGTGGAAAGTGGAATATAAAAACAATTATACTTTATACAACAAACAATTATATTTTTTTCTATGTCTTTCATTCATTTTCCTAACCGTAAGAAATGTTGTCATGTCAAATGAGGAGTAGATGAAAGTATTTATGGATCATGCTTAGAGGCATCCCCATCACACTTGTGGATATTGATGAATTAAGCACGGAGAGATTTCGTCAAGTTTGTTTTTTAATTGTCAGGTTTTTGTTTTTAGTCTTTGTAAATTTTAGTCTATCATATTTAAAGGATTAGGTCCTTAAAAAAATTATTTCTTTATTTATTAAAACTTGATTAATTAACTTATCCAACCATTCATTTTACATTGACTATTACATGCACAAAATTATTTCAATTTATATTTCCCCACTGGTGTCCTTATTAGTTTATTAAAATAGCAGCTGAAAGAAGTTCTATAGGAATCAAGTTTGAAGGGCTAGGCTTTTGTCAGTCATTTCACAGGGGACATTGTTCTTATAGCTGGCTCTCTTCGATATTGTGATGTTCTGGGAGAAGAGATTTATGTTTCTGGACATATCATGTGAGTCATGACATCAATAAAGATGTAAGGTATCCTTAAGTCCCCATGATTTTAATTTAATTCTTATGCTATTCTTTTTTGAAAGCCCCACAATTATGCCAAAGTTTTAGATTGATTTCTGTCACTCTAGGTACTCATATTTTGCAGTTTTCTTGTCTATATTTTAATCCTATATAAATTTTGCTAGTTTTGTTTTCTGTTAGTGACAACTGGTATAAGATTTGTCCTAGGAAGCTTTCTTGGGACTTACACCAAAAATTATTTATTTCATTAATAAACAAGCTAATTATAAACATAAATAACATATACATACAAGTTATGTAATATAATTTATATAATAAAACTTTTATAAAAATACAATAAACATTATAAACTAGGTAAACTCAATAGAAAGCCAAAGAAACTTATTATTTATAAGGTTATTTATAAGTTTATGTATTATGACTAATATTAATGAAATTAATTATTCTTTTTATCTAAGGACATGGTTGAGATAAAAAAGTTAGTGACACGAAAGGGATTCGAACTTACGACCTTCAGCTAGTAGCTTTAGCCAAAGGCCATGGGTTCGAATCCTGCTCATGACACAAACTTTTTCTTCTCAACCAATACTTTAGATAAAAAGAATAATTAATATGGTCAAATATGATCGCTAAACATATATCAACTAATAGTAGTTTTTTGAAATCACTGGAATGATTTGCCTGATTGAATGATGAGTGATATTTGTCTATATAAAAAACTTCATTTGGTGGTTTACCAGACTTCGCTATCATTGTGATTTCAGTCATCTTCCATATTCCAGGAAAGTGTTTTAACCTTATTGCCATATTAAATAAATGAATTTTTCAGGGTAATTTTTTTTCAAGATTTCTATGCTATGAGACCAAATCCTGGGAAAACCATCTGAAAGAAAAGAAAAACACTCAGTTCCTTTTCAACCTTTCAAGGGATATATAATAATACATTATACAAAAGATATATAATAATTTATACTGTTAACAAATATAAGCATCTACTTTCAATATCAAAACTTATCGTTTCATACATAAGAAACGTATGAGTTGCCAATGGACTGAGATCTACCATGGAACGAGATCTACCATGTGTACATACATGGATTAAAAATAGAAATAATTTATAACAGTTTCAAAGTCTTGATGAAAGAGATATATTTCATGAAAGCTAGATAAAGGAACTGAGTTTTTCTTTTCTTTCAAATTGGCCTTATCCCTGATTGTTTAATACAAAATTATAAAATTGAAGACTGATTTCAATGACATACATCGAGATAATACATAGAGATTGTTTTGTAGTCAATAAATACTCATTTTACACAATAAGTTATAGTCTGTCACCCTTACTATACCTAACAATTGATGTAGTGTGTGTAAGCTATTATATATATAGAAAAATATACAATTTTAATTTTTTACCAGAAAACCTTTTAAATGACAATTAATAAGATATCGATATTGTTGAATGAACAAATAATGAATGAATCATATAACGCTACATAGATAGATAAGATTATTTAAGTATGTGATTTCGTTTCCACCCAATTTATCCTCACATCTTTATCTTACCCTACCTACAAAATATTTTTTATCAAATCGAAACGATTAAACAAACAATATGTTTGTTTCATTTTCATCGTAAATCAGAGTGCTTTTGACACCTTCTTTATTACGTTTTATGACTCAAATTGTGAATTTATACATACTTCTTGTGTGTGTTATACTTTCTGATTGATGGAGGCATCAACTGTTGTGGCAAATGTGGTAAATAATAGTCTTATTTAGTTTGTTTGTCAATTTTTATTGAAAAGTCTTCTTTTTTTGGAAATTGAATTTTTTTAGCAAACAATTATTCTTAGCATATTGATTGTAATGTTTCATTTAAATTAAATTGACTAAAATAATTTTATAATGTCTCATTATGCTTTTTTAGGGTAATTTATTTATGTTGTTATCAATTGTTAATCTGCTTTGATAAGAAATTCAACAAATTGAATCAATTAAGCCAGTTCAAGATTTAATTTATCTTTAATTTCAATTTATTTGACATTTCTCAAGTTGTGAATTTTTTTATTGTTGTTTTATTTGTTTTATGTTTACTAAATTTAAACAATTCAATATTAAAATATGTATAGATAAAAGAAAGAAAACGTTATCTGAAAATTGTTGTAATACCTCATTAAAAGAATAGATATGTATAACTTTATATAAACGGAAATATAATTTAAAGGCATTTGACCATTTAAATATTTAATAGTTTCACACTGTCATTATACTAAATGTGCTAAATGTGATAACAATGCAATCAATACAATATATAAAGTATGCAAACAAATAACCATTCATTAGACACCACCTCATAAATAACTTTTGATAAAAGATTTAATTATAATAACATACTTGAAATTAATCAAAATCCACAGATTATTATATAGTATAGTATATATTTTATTTATGAGCTGACATATATCTGGTAGTCATTGCCAGCCCTCTATGCATGAAACGGAAAATTCTGTTTTTTTTCACACATATTTCTCACTGGCCTTTTCATAGTTTTTCTCCGGTTTTCTTAACTGTCTATTAATAGAACAAGAACACACAAACATATAAGTTTTTCACACTCCTTGCTTCTACCTCGAAGCCCTGCCCCCTGCCACCAGGCCTGAAACCCAGAATGTCGGGAATACCCCAAACAATGTCTCGTGGGAATTGCTGGCCGACAATACCCCTGAAATTCACAGATTATAATAAGAAGAAAGGAACCAAAATGTTCTGTAAAGGAGGAAAGAAACTCTTAAGGGAGATAAAAATTATAAAAGTAGTTCAGTAGTTCAATTTTTTGAGTAGTCTGAGGAATGCCAATAATGATATTTGAATTTTTGAGTTTTTTTAAACTAATATAAATTGGAATTCATTTAGGGGGACCACGTTTGGATAAAGCCATCTTCAACAGACAGATATGAACTACCGTGGTCAGGGAAAATTGTATCAAAGAAAAAAGATTCATTTACAATTTGTGGAGATGAAACAAAGGTTACTATTATATTATACATATATATTGTAAAATGTATTGTAGTTTGATTATCCTTTTATCTTGTACTGACTTTGTCTGTCAGAAGTGTTCCAGCTTTTTACCATGGTGAAAGAACGCACATGACAGGCAAAATCAGTATAGGCAGACCAGGTTGATCAAGCTATAGGTTTATCACCTCGCAGACCTCATGACAATGTTTAACAATAATATATTTGTTTTAGAACATCACTGTGAAGCCTGAGGAAATAATGAAATTGGTGAATACAACAGATATTTTGGCACTAGAAGACATGATCCACTTATCAGATCTTCAAGAATATTCTATCCTGAGGAATATTTTACTTAGATATTATAAAGATCAAATTTATGTAAGGCATGATGGTTAGACTAAATCAATCCGTAAGAAAAATACTAATAAATAAATTTATAGACATACATTGGAGGGATTTTAGTAGCTGTAAACCCTTACAAGTCATTACCAATCTATTCCGATTTATATATAAAGCGTTATTATAATAAAAGATCAGGAGAGCTACCACCTCATATTTTTGCTGTCGGTGCACAAGCGTTGACTAACATGAAGCGTCAGCAGTGCAATCAATGTGTAATTATAAGGTAAAATTAAAACATTATTTCATTACAGACCGTTTTGATTTATATATTATATATATTGCTATTTTTGTTCAGTGGTGAAACTGGAGCAGGGAAAACAGAAAGTACTAAGTTTCTTTTAAACTTTTTGGCAGCCGTATCGAGTAAAACTATAATTGGCAATCAAATAGTTCAGTCTAATCCAATCTTGGAAGGTCACTATGACTCTAAGCTCTATATGAAAAGTCTGTTACTGAATGAAAATTCATGTATTATAGTTTATTGCAGGTTTTGGTAATGCAAAAACAACAAAAAACGACAATTCTTCAAGATTTGGAAAATATATAGAAGTTTCCTATAACCAAGAAGGAGTGATTACTGGTGCTTGTATTCAGCATTATCTTCTTGAAAAGTCTAGAATTAAATCTCAAAATATTGGAGATAGAAATTATCACATTTTCTATGACATGTTAGGAGGACTTCCAGAATTGGAAAAAAAGAAACTCCAGCTCGGAAGGCCAAATGACTATTTTTATCTGAAGCAGGTTAAATGTGTCATATTACAAAATACTGTGGATGTCTCTTGTTTTGTTTTATATCTTTGTTTTAAAGATTTTTTTATCCAGGGTGGTAAAATAGTATGTCAAGGGCATGATGAAAAAGTAGAATTTCTGCATTTAAAAGAAGCCATGTCCATTTTAAATTTTAAAAATGAAGAAATAGAACACATTTTTGAAATGTTAGCAGCCATTTTGCACATAGGGAATTTCATCTATAAATCAAAAGTCGTTGGTGAGAATCATTAAGGGTAATTAACTGTGTTGCTAGCAGAATGTATAATATTAATGACAAAAAAAATTTTTGATATTTTTCAAAATAATTATTAGAAGTTTAATGTATTTTTGTGTTTCAGGCAATGATGATATTACTGAAGTACAACCGACAAATTCTTTGAAAGCAGCTATCACATTGTTAGGACTTGAAGAGAATGATTTGATTCATGTATTAACACATAAGACGATCATTGTTGAGGGGAATAAAGTTGTATGTTTTATATAATACAAAAATTAAATTTGTAATTTCTTACAGCTTTGAAAAATTTAGGTATCAGCAATTCTTATAGGCCAGGCACTATCAAAAAGAGATGCTTTTGCAATGGGCCTTTATATGAGATTATTTTCTTATGTTCTTACAACAATTAATAAAGCAATATCAAACCATCAATCTACAAAAAATTCAACAATAGGCATATTGGATGTGTTTGGGTTTGAAAATTTTAAGCATAATAGGTAAATTGTGTTTATAATCAATCATTTTTCAAAAATAACAAAAATTATTGATTTTTTTAGTTTTGAACAACTTTGTATCAATTACGCTAATGAACAATTACAGCAATTCTTCGTCCAGCATGTTTTTATGTTAGAACAAGAAGAATATCAGTCTGAAGGGATCGATTGGACTAATTTAGAGTTTCAAGACAATCAAGCAGTGGTAGAATTCCTCGGAGGAAAAAACATAAGTGTTCTAGGGCTTGTCGATGAACAGACACGAGTCCCAAAAGTTAGAAAATGTTTAAAAAAATAAATATAGACTCTAAATTTTGACTTTTGTAGGGAAGTGATATAGGATATCTTGTAAAAATGAACCAAACCTTTTCTGATATTAATTATTACATAAAAGACAAATCAGAAGTTAGTATGGAATTTGGGATAAGACATTATGCTGGGACAGTTAAATATAATGTAGAAGGTAGTTTATATAAAAATAATATCTTGTTTAATTTATAAAAAATGCACATATAATTTGGATATTTAGGGTTCATAGAGAAAAACGTTAGCACTTTAGGGGTGGACTGGCTGGAAATCATAAGAAAATCGTCCAATTCATTCCTCAAAACCTTATTCGGAAATGAATTGTCTACATCAGTCAAGCCAGTTGGTCATACCTTAGCATCGCAGTACAGAACTTCACTTGAAGCACTTATGAAAATGTTAAACCAATGTTATCCATTTTTTATACGCTGCATCAAACCAAATAATCATAAAAAAACATCAGTATGTACATTTTAATTGTGCTACCTGAATATTCACTTGTATCAGATTTATTTGAACTTTTTTTCTTTAATTGATTAGTGTCTTGATCGTCCACTAGTATCTAAGCAATTGCATTATTCCGGTATGATGGAGACGGCCAAAATCAGGCAATCAGGCTATCCCATTCGGTACACTTATCGTCAGTTTGTTGAAAGATACCGATTATTGCTACCTGGTTGTGCCCCTATCTCTAAGGTATGTTTACAAAAATGTACTAAAAAAAAGACACTCATTTTGTAGTTTATTTGAAACTATATGTATTTTTATTGTTATGTCGATTACAACATATTTATTTTATGTAAAGCAAATTAAATGTGATAAAAAATTGATGAGTTTTAGAAAAAATTATTTAGTTATGATGGTTTGAAAGAAAATCCAACAAAACACCGAAAAATCATTTAGTGGTAAAACAAATTTAACTAACAATTTATTATCTGGTTTTGCTCTTAATAATGCATTAAAAACAAAACTAGTTAAAAAAGAATGTGAGTTAAGTCTACCATTACAAGATTTTTCAGTGAATTTTCTTTCAAACCATCACAATTAAATGTTTATTGAAGCTCATGAATTTCTGATCTCGTTTAATTTGGTTTACAATAAAATAATTATGTTGTAATGAATATAATGATAACATAACATACATATGGTTTGAAATAAGCATCAAAACATGAGTGACTGTTTTTTTGTCTTTGTGTCTATTTCAAATGTTATCCATATTTTTAGATTCAAAACTGGAATGCCCTGGCATTACATATTTGTTCAAAAAATTTATCAAAAGAAGAGTATCACTTGGGAAAGACGAAAGTGTTTTTAAAAATAACAGATGAATTGCTGGAATCTTTAAGAGAGAAAGTTCTCTCTAAAAATGCGGTCATACTTCAAAAGAATTATAAATCTCATTTATACAGAAAGAAGTATGTTTTGCCTTTATTGATTGAAACTTTGACTTATACACTCTAATTAACAGATTCATTCAAATGAGAAATGCAGCCATAACGCTGCAGAGGCACTGGCGGGGCAGAAATCCCCGAAAAGCGTTCCTTGACATAAGAATTGGGTATCTTCGCCTTCAAGCATGCCTCAGGTCTCGTCAACTTAGAAATGATTTTGTTCAAATGAGAATAGCAATAATTAAACTTCAGGTAAAATTCTGTATTTCAACAGTAATATATAATTATTTCATTTAATTATTCTTTTTATCCAAGGCCTTGGTTGAGATGAAAAAGTTAGTCACAAGCAGGATTCGAACCCATGATCTTCGGCTCAAACGCTGGTGCTCTAACCACTTGAGCTGTCATGACAGTGGTAAGAGCAGCGGTGTATTGGGCCGAAGATCGTGACTTCGAATCCTGCTCATGACACTATCTTTTCCATCTCAACCAATACCTTAAATAAAAAGATAATTAATTGAAATCATTAATACATATTAATGATTTCAATTAATTATTCAATTATGACGCTAAGCATGCATGGATTAATATATTACATAATACTGTAATACAATATTGTTCCACTGTTTTCAGGCTAGATGTAGAGGATATTTGCTACGAAAAAAAATGAATAATATCAAATTTAAAAAGAGACAATCTCTTACTCCACCTATTTCTGTATGTTGGATGTATTTATAAAATATGTAATCAAGTATAATTCACTTATGTTTCTGATTTATGTTATTCCAGTCACCTAGAAGTGGACCAAATAGTGTAAATGACATTGATAATTGGATTGAAAATGTTTTTGATAGTGCAGTAGAAGAAAAATCTGAATATTTTCAAATTGTGAGTGGTTTTTTTGAGTATTTTGAATTAATGATTTATTATTTAATTTATTTTCAGTCGGAAGAAGGTGTTGAAGCTATAAATGTCAAAGAAATACTTGAAAACCCTTGTACAATGACTTTTCATAAATATGCTGCCATTAATTTCACTGGAAATGTTCACAGTCGATATTTCATAAAAAAGATAAAACAACCACTTCTAGAACTTACATCCTTTGCTGACCAATTGGTGAATTATTAAAATGATGCAATTTATATTTTGTATTTTAATTAAATTAATAAATTACAATTTATCAAGGCTGCTGTAGCTATTTGGGAAACAATACTAAGGTTTATGGGCGATATTGCCAATGGTGACCATTCTCATTACAATTTCAATAATAAATCAGTAATGAGTCAGCTCCATGCAACTATCTCCAAATCGTATCTACACTCAAAGAAATATATTGATGCTTATAATGCATTCAAAGTATGTTTTCTGTAACAGTACAATGATACAAAAACTGAGTCAATTTTTTGTTATAGGAGGAGGAAGAAAAATTGGTTAAACATGTTCTCATAAATGGCCCAATTAATCTAATAAACTTAACTTTAGCTCACAGAAATAAGTTACAAAAGGAAATTGAGAAGGGAGATCAAGAAGTGTCAATTCTTAGAGAAAATTATGATAAATGGCTTAATTCTAAAAGTACACTTTTGGACAAACTTCAATTCATAATAGGTCATGGAATTCTTAGACAAACTCTTAGGTATTTCTTACAATACAAAACCAGGGAAAATGAAAAGATTTATTTTATTGTCTTGAAGGGATGAAATTTACTGCCAACTCTGCAAGCAGCTGAGTGACAATCCAAATCCAAATTCTTCCCAGTATGGCTGGATTTTAATGAATTTGTGCGCTTCTTGCTTTGCTCCATCGAGCAAGTTTGCACCAACATTACTTCATTTTATGGCTTCCAATGGAAACAAACTTGGCTGCATAATGACTCTGCAAAGGACAATTCACAATGGACCAAGAAATGAGCCACCAACCTCTTTTGAATTAAATGTAGCTTTTGCTATTGACAAAAAAAGTTTTTATGAGTTTTTCCTAATTAAAAATTACTTTTAGGCATTAAAAACCAAGCAACCAATGGAAATTAAAGTTTTGTTTCCAAATGGTTCGAGTCTTGTAATAAAAATTGATGCTGCTACAACATCAAGTGAAGTATGTAGGAAAGTGACATCTCATCTTGGAATCAAAGATCAATTTGGTTTTTCACTTTTCATCACAATGTTTGGAAAGGCATGCAAAATTTTAATAAAATTATTTCAATCTATTTTCTTTTACATCAAGCATGTCAAAAATAGTAGTTACCTGTTATTTAGAAATGATTTTGTTTGTTGGTTAAGTTTTTATTTTACATGTTTTTTAAAGTAGCCAAAGAGAAAAAATATTTTATTTAAAAATCAGTCTTAATTGAACAAACATTCCAGAGTTTATCATTGGAAAGCGGTGGATGCCACATTTTGGATGCAGTCTTCCTCTGTGAAACAGTAGCGAAAGAAAGAGGAATCCCTGAATCTGAAGCACCGTGGTATATACGATTTGCAAAAGAAATGTTTAGCCCCTGGCAAACACATCTTGATGACTTAGTCGCTGCTGACTTAGTATACAGTCAAGTTATAAAAAACTCATTTCTTGGAGAATACCGGTGTACACAGGTTAAAAAACTATTATTAACGTGCCTCTTCATTTAGCTACATTTTGAATTAATTTAAAGGAAGGTGAACTTGCACAACTTGTTGCCCAGCATTACTACGTCTCTTGTGGAAAAGTCCTGTTACCAGAGATATTAAGTAATTTAATCAGTGAAGTTATCCCTGAGCCATTACTTAGACAGAAAGGGACTGTCTATTGGATAAAGCTCGTCACTGAAACATTCAAAAAGGTTTTGTGTCATACCATAACAAAATTCAAAATATTTAATTGCACTGTTTTTTTAGAGCTACTTCATAAAATTAAAAATTCCTGAAGTGGATGTTAAGTTAGATGTTGTTACTTTTGCAAAAGATAAATGGCCCATTTTGCTGTCAAAGTATTATGAAGTTATGCAAATTGCAGGTGAATAAAAGTTTGATGTTTTTGCATATGAGTATACATTCTATTTTATTATTTTTACTATAGGAATTTCTCTTGGAGTCCCAAATCTACTTTTAGCAATCAACTCAGAAGGAATTTTTTTTACAAGAAACACTACAAAGATAATTCTTAAGTTTACATATGTAGAAATAGCGTCAATTGAATACAAGTAAGGTTTTTAGCATTTTCAACAGTTAGAATTAATTGTTTTATGAAAAATAATTTTATTAATTCTATCTAAATAATTTGTTGTGTTTACAGAACAGACCCTGATGGTGAGGGCCAAGTACATCTGTTAACTTTTAATGATCAGAAATTTGTATTCAAAACAATATATGCTGAAATTATTTCTCATCTAATCAAATGGATCCAAGCAGAACTCATTTCTCGATCCATTTATGCCGTGGCTTTACAAAATTATTCTGCTCCTGGTATTGCTTCAATTTATCTGGAAGTCTGACAAAATATTTAAACAAGTTTATAATTTTATAACTTCAGATTCAAGTTTTTTGTCACTGAGTGAAGGAGACCTTGTAATCTTGGAAGAAGCCGTGCTAGATAATTTTGGTGGTTGGCTTAAAGGGTTTAAAATGGGGACGGACAAAATAGGAGAGTTCCCGTCATCTGTAGTTCGGATCTTGCCAACATTATCTAAACCGCCAAATTATGTTTTGGTTTGTTCTTAACAACTTAGTCTTAAATTATAGATATCATAATTTGTATTATTTTATTTATAATACAGTTCATAAGGGGAAAAAATATTTTTCAGGCATATTGTACAAATAAGCATAATTCAGAAAGATATTTGACCAGTAAATCAATACTACTTAAAAAGCATACCTTAGAAGAATATGCAGCAAGACATTTCAGGTTGATTAAAACCATAGAATTTCAATTTTAAATAATTAACTACTTTAATAATTAATTGTTGTTAGCTCTTATCGAACTTCAAGACTTATGTCAAAAAAGAATGATTCGCAGTCTGAACCATGGAAATATTCAAAATCCGTGATATGGGGACCACTTAATAAAGGACTTGATCAATTGGCTCATCTTGCAATTAACATGTTTTCATATATTTTGAAATACTCAACAGATAAGGATACTGGGAATAAATTGCTTCACACCAGGCCAATATTTGAGCCTGCTTTAGATCATGTGAGTATTACGAGAAGGAAAAAATACCTGTCATACGCCTAAATATTAGTTCTATGACACAGAATATTGACTATTTTTAATATTAATTGTAAAAGCAAAAAGCTAAAATAATATTATAATGTATGAATACATATTTTGCAAATGTGGTTTGTTGTAGGTTTCTCTCAGAGATGAATTATATTGCCAAATTATGAAGCAGCTGACTGAAAATCCGAATCCTGAAAATGAAAATCGAATGTGGCATCTTATGTGGCTTGCAACCTGCCTTTTCAGCTGTTCAGAATTTCTTTTGCCTGTATATAACTATTACATATAGTTTGAGTATTGCTTTTAAACAGATTTTACCTACTAATGTCTAATGTGTTTACATATATTATGAAAACAGGAACTATGTTTGTTTCTTGAAACAAGACCTGTCTCTATCGCACAAGAATCTTTAAAACGGTTAAAAATTGTACGAGAAAAAGGAGAAAGGCGCAATGTACATCACTGGATCGAAGTAGAAGCAATTGAGAAAGAGACTTCAATCCTGCATAAAGTATCATTTCCCAATGGAATGGAGCAGGTTTAACAAAACACAAAAATATTGAAAAGAATATTGTGGTTTAATTGCAGAATTAATTATACTTTTAGATTTTTAAAGTGAACTCCTTCAATATTGTTGATGATCTTGTCAAATTTATTGGAGCATATCTCGGCCTAAAGTCAATAGAAGGGTTTTCTTTAATATTATCTTGTGATGACAATTCAACAATTTCACTTCCGCCAAAAGATTACTTATTTGATGCTATCCTGGATGCATGTAATTTTCCACAGACTGCATCTAGTATAAAAATTCATCATAAAATTAGAATTTATTACTACTACTTTTATTTCATTATTATTTTATTGTTACAGGCCAAGAGACTCCTAAATATAATTACGAGCTAGTATTTGTGAAAAAAATTTGGATTAACACATATCCTGGTGTAGATAAAATAGCAGATTTAGTCTGCCATTATAATCAGGAATTGTCTAAATATATGGCTGGTTTGTATAATTAATTTTTTCCTCAAAATTGCACACCCAAACGCTTGCAACGTCAACGTAAACATTAATTCTTAAATACATAAATTCCCTCAGTAGTACTCAAATCCATCACCGTATACAGTAACTAAAATATTTAAGAGTGTTAGTGCAGAAATCAATATTCTACCATCAACCCTCTTACACTAAATGTTCATGCTAATAAATGCATTCACTCCAAAATACTTTGAGAGTCAAGGAACTACAAAAGAAGGCATGCACATTTGCCAAAAAACATAATGCTGCTTGGTTCAAACATAATTCCTTTATTAGTAGAAGTATGCAGGCTTGATCCAATGTCAACCATGTATGGCCTATTCACAGATTAATAAGATAGATTGAGGGAATAGGATCGCTTCTCCAACTCTCTAAATTAAGTTGAGAGAGTATTGAAATTTTGTTTTTATTATATATTAAAAACAAAAAATTAATGAGCAAATATTACATTTTCAGCATATTAATATTTTTATTCCCTTCTTTGTACTTTATTGTAATAAATTTATTGTTTTAATCATGACTTATACTGATTTAATGATTTATATACGCTCAAATCTACACATGCATGTACATGCATGCACATGTGTACAGAATTAGACTGATCACTTCCCACTTCCAGTTTTTGTAATTTACAATAAATTAATGATAGGCAGCAGAACCACCTACCCAGAGTGTTGGCAGTACAGGCCACAGGGTCATACCTTGGCCTTATCCGTCCAACCACTGAGGTTGGATTATCAACAACTAGGTCATTTCAGCCCATTACACAATCAGTTCATAAATTCAAACCCATTCACACTCTTTCATTCTTTCCTATTTTCATATTATTCACTTAGTTATGGTGTGGAGTACTTGATATTCTGACATCACCTTTTACATCTATTATATAACTAACCTAATTGAGAATCAATGGGATACTCAATATTCTTCCATCAGCCTTCTCACGCTACACATTCATGCCAATAAATACATTATCTCTCAGGGATATAAAAGTATCAGTACTACATGCAATAAAACGATCGTTTCTTCCAAAAATCAAATCAGGGGACCCAAATATTTGCTGCCATGTTCAAGCACAAATCCCGTAGCATTCCTACACACTCTCCATATGGAGTCAAGGAATTGCACCCTTCAATTAAGTGGGCAAGCTTCAAGGCATCAAGTAACCTTTCTCTATCGATAGCAAAGCTTCTCTGCCGATCCGGCCTGATGACACTGTCACTTTCTTTTAATCATGTTTTGTATTGCATTTGTAGCATGAGGGGGCTGGATCCCGGTGGTGTCTGGAGGTTGGGATAGGTACCAAAATAAAAACCATGTTTTTCTGAGAACCTACAGTTTATGGTATCTCTAAGAGCCTTGAATTTATAATACATGTATTATGTATCTAAAAAACCTAATTTACCTAAAAACTTTAATTTTACAATTCATTAGAGTTATTAACCTATTATAAATATCTTTTATTTAATGTGATTTTATTAGGTCTCCACAATTGTACTTTAAACGATGCAATATACCTTGCAGCTGTAATTTTTATAGCTGAATACTCTTCTGAAATGACAAATCCTAAAGATGATATATTGTAAGTAGCCTTATGCACTTTTTTTTATATTTTCCACATATTTTCCAAAGAGAGAGGCAATAATAATTATTATTATTTATTTTTGTTAAAGGAAAGTATTTGTGCATCTCATCCCACAAAATTTACAAGATGAGCTCAGTGGTAGAGAATGGATTGAACACATTCACTTAGTGTTTAACAAGCTAAAAAGTAATGTTCTTAAATTTAAAAATGTAAGTTAAGATTTTATTGATCAATGTAATTTCAGATATGTCAAATGATGAAGCAAAGATTACATTTCTTAAAGTGGTTCAAACATGGTGGAGCTTCGGCTCAGCTTTCTTCAATGTGCACAAATTGAGTTCAATGCAGGATGACCATTTACTGCTGGCTGTCAACAAAAATGGAGTTTTCATCATAGATCCTTACTCACAGGTAAGTCGACAAATTTTCAGATTTGATATCAAAATGTAAATATAAAAACAATTTTAGGAAGTGCTTGCAACATACAGCTATTCACAAATAATTATGTCATTCTGTTCAAAGTTTTCATTAACTTTGACATTAACAAATGGGAATTTGTTATTATGGACAAAAAATGCTCATAAAATTGCTGATCTTGTTAATTCTTATTTAGATGCTTATGACAACAACCGAATCATGAGTTCTAACTAAGTATATTACTTAAAACGTTTATTTGTAATAATGTATTTTTTATTAAAACAATTATATTTTATTACAATATATTTTTATTTTTTATTTTGTAGGTTGATTTTCTTTGATTATCCTGCTTATTAGATAAAACCAAATGTTTAGAGATTGGTGGCATTTTGCCAGTTCTCTCTTTGGCATGTTAATAGGCAACAGGATGATCAGGGATAATCAAGCTACAAGCTTCTCCTTGGTAAAGGTTTCATAATACACTTTTTTGTAATTTAGTAATTTCTGATCATCCTTAACAGTTAAGTAACCAAATTATTATTATTAAATACTTTTTAATACATTTATATATATGATTACCAAATTTATAGTTTTTATTTTATTTTATTATTATTATTGTAAAAGTTACGATATTGCGATGTTTTGAAGATCCTGTATCATTTTCAAGTTTTATATTTTATGAAAATGGCACAGGGTCTAAATGTAGCAAAATCGTGATTTTATTTTAATAAATAAAAACAAAAACACCTTCAAATAAAAAGGCCTGAAAAAAATCATCTAAACGAAGAAAAAAATGTATATCATAAACAAAAGGTAGAGTTTAATAATAAAAGGTTTGAAACTAAAATAGTAATAAAAAAAAATTGGATGTTCATTGAGGGTGTAATTACCACAACATACTTTATAAAAGTAAGTATATTTGATACCGTACCTAATGAAAATATTTTTTTTTACATTTGGTAGTTATTAATAAAACTAAAAGTGAGTTGAAAAGGTGCTTGTAATGTTAAAATTTTCATTACATTGATTATGTAAATGTACAAGTTTGAATGATATAACTACATTTTTAGGAAAATTGTGAAAAAACCAACTGTATGTAAAGACAATACAAAATAAATGTAAATGTTTTTGTTTGTTTTGTTAATTTTAATAGGTTAACTGGAGAATAATTTTTTACATGAGAAAGGACTTGTACAGAAAAAAGTCCATCTATGAATTTAATTAATATTGCCTTTCAATTTGTTAAAATATTGAATATGATGTAAAGTATAACATCTAAACGTTTGAAATTATTTATTGCATATTTTATATGACATTGTTATTAATATTATGAGTATAAATATCACAAATATGTTGTATATTGTCCCAAAAACTATCAATATATTACATATAAATTATTAGTATCAAAAATGTACATGTATTTTTATCTAACCTAGTAAAATATTGCTTGTTTTTCATTGTCTTTAATTCCTACAAAGAGACTAGAAGCATACATTATAAATTTGAAGACACTTTAAATTTTTAAGGCATAGATAATTGTAGACGTCATAATGAGAATTATAGCTTAAAAATTATGTATTGCTTGTAAATTGGTTCAAAATAACTTTTAACCAATTTATTTAGTTTTATTGTCAATTGTATTTCTTAAAAGATATTGATTACAATGATTTATATTTTGAGTAAAGAGGCTGAGATGAAAAGGTTAGTGTCACAAGTAGGACTTGAACCCACGACCAGTTTTCATCTTTACCACACTTTTCATAAAATTATAAATGACTGAAAAATTGCTCTGGTTCAGCAATAGGACCAAATAAAAAATGTAATATGATATTGATTACCAAAAAATTGATCCAAAAGATTTATATTTTACAGAAACAAGAGAGAGATGGTATTATGTAATCCAGAAAAACAGTGTAAATAATATTTTAGACAACACGTAAACGTATTGTCTCACATTAAATGTAGTATTCCAAAAATATTTTTGCATATATTTATGTTCACACACAATATTAGCTAGTAAATAAAGAAGTTATAAAATATACCTCTTTTTGCTGTATTAATTGAAGGTTCCGTGTAAACTAAAAAAAAGATAAACTAGTAAACTAATAGAAAAATCACTATTAGTTATTCCTATAATTATCATCCTAATATGAATGTGCTTGCGTAGTGTAATAGTGTAAAATATAATAATACATCATTAAAAATAGTGCTGTGCTTAGTTTGCATAGTTACTACTATGCTTGAATTTTAAAGTTAAATAAAAATTATTGTATATCGTTGTACTAAGATTCGATTATTAATTAAGATATTATTTTTCTTACATTTTTACTCATTAATGTTTAATTATCAATGGTAATAAGTGATTAATATAATTTTAATTTTCTTCAGTCTAAACACAACAATTAACTTAGAGAATCCAGCTGGTAGACTATTAGTTAACAATTGTATAACAAAATATTCTAACAATTACAAATAATAGGTCAAAATGACAATAAGTAAAAATGGAAATATGTCTCATGGCCTAAACAAAGGCATAAGAGAATTTAACAAAATTTACAACACATTTCAACAATTATGTTTGTTTTTGTCAACAAAGAGGAAAACATCAATAAACAGAGGAAAAGAAATTTAAAAAATATTCTTATGGTCAAAATTAAGGGAAGACTTAGTATCGACATTTGTTTTATATGTTTTGACATTTGTATAAGATTAATTATGCAAATAAAGTGATATGTTAAAATATTCAATATACTAGGGAACAGATTGTTTACATATTTTAAAAGCCAAATGCTTAGATAATAAAACTTACTATTTGTATTGACATTTTGAAGCAATTTAAAACATGTTAATGTAACACATTTTCACATATTTTGAGGGTAAATTAAATTTTATTACAATTTTCTTCATTTTAGATATTTTTATCACATATTTTACATTGATTTAACAATTTTAAGTCGTGATTTGAATCAAAGTATGGCATTAAAAGGTGATTCCAGAAAACTAGCTCACACTGTTAAAAGTAAAAATCAGTCAGAAAAATAATTATACAAACACTAAGCTGCTCAAAAATCCTTAAATAAACTTGTCCAGATTTGGGCCTATCGTTATATTTGGGATACGATAAAATTTCGCCAAAATAAAGGATGTCATATCAAAAATTGATAGCACAAAACTACATCAATCAAAAAGGCCAAAAATCTATTGGAAAAAATACACTCATCCATAATTTGGCATTAATTTCAGCTAATGCACATGCAATAATAAAATGGAAATTCAAAATATGTCACTGTCACTATTTGAGAGTATGGGTGTAGTTAAGAAAAAAAATATATAAAAGCAAAAGACGAGCTGCTTAAAACCCCTGAGTTCAAAGAGCTAAAGAACATCTTGAAAGGAAATCATGGAGGCACTTTATGACTGGAAGAGAATTTTTAAACAAATTTAAATGAAATTTCAATTTTTAAATAGTCCAATAAAATCGAAGATGTACGTGTGTGCTCCATTAGCAGATGCAAATGCTGACTATCGCTTCTTCAATTTTGAAAATTTAAATTATGATGTCATTCTCAATAATTTTAAAGAATGAAATAGTTTCACGTTATGTTTTGTTTGTTATTTTAACATTGCTCTTTTAAAAATATAAATTTTTTGTATTTTTAAATATTTTCTCATTTTATATTACATATTTTACTAAAAATAAATACCCATCTAATCAAAAATAAGGACATATTTATGCACATATTTTTACTTTGTTAATATGGCAAAATCCACTCCCTAATTACAATATTAACCACTAGAAATGTCACCACAATACTTAATCTACCCCAAAATTTGTGTTACCAGACAAATTTTATGCACTTCTAAATAAACCTGATTAAATAATAATACAATTCCATCTTTGGATGGCAATAGAATAAGGCAAATTAATTTGAAGTCAGATTTTTCATAACGGTTGAAATGGATAGAATAAACCCTAGGAAACAAACTCAATGTCATGATGTCGTGAAATGACATCTTCTCATTGCGTTCCATATTATGCATTATATAACAATAGTTTATAACATTATATAATAATGGCATGTGTTTAATAAAAAAACACTAATATATTCATAATTATCATGTAGAATGTCGTCAAACTGTAATTTTTTAAGTGTACACACTAACATTATATCTAGAATAAAAGAAACCATATAGGTGAGCTACCATGGAATTCCTGGTTTTTTTAATCCTAAATATTCATCATACAAAAGTATTTTTTATCTCACCAAGGACTAAACATTATAAATATATATTTTTGCAGTTTATTCATTTTAAAAGTGTTATACATTAAAATATTTCATAATATATATGTTAATAGAAAAACAATAACATATAATTTAATATACAAAACAATTTATTATTTATTTATAATCACAAATTATTGACTAGTAAGGTTATCTCACTACAGAGGCAGTGAAACAGAAAAGACCCGAGTTATTTTATTTTAAAACCTGTAATACAGTTTTTTTTATTGAAATCCAAAAATCTCTTTAATATATTAAAAATTTAAATAATTTAAAAATAAGGACATCATTTAACCCTGCAGTGGGCTCATGGTGGTACTTTTTACTGCAATTTCTTTTTTATTGTATTTTTAGTTGGAATTTTGTTTTGATTTTGTCAAAAGTCATTAATATTCATTCTATATGATTTTCAGGACATGGAGCAACACGTGCCCTTTTTTTCCGTAAGCTTGATGAAGGTTCTGAGTGTTTTTCTTTCTTTCAAATTCACTTCATCCCTGATTTTTTATATAAAGTTATTACTTTAAGGCTAATATCAATCACATCAATACAATACGTTCCAGTATACAATAATTATTGTTTCAAAGTTCAATCCCATGTTTAAGAAATTCACCTAGGTCAGAACTGAATGTTGATTGTATGTATAATGTGATTTGTTTCTACAATTCTAGATTCTTATAAAATTCATAAATTGTACACATCTTTTTAAATGGGTACTTGGACACACAGTAAAACACGACACAACAATACAAGTGGGAGTGTCAGTGGCCATAACGGTTTAGGCATTACTATAGCGCTCATCACTGTAAAGGTCACCATCAGGTAAAGGTCCTGGATTCAAATTTAGCAGTTAACTTCACAGTTCTCATAGTTGAAATACCCTCATTTAAAACAAAAACAAAAATTAATTTGCCGCTTTAATTTTTTTTTAGAATGCTTAACATTGAAATCAATGCTCATGCAATTTTTCAAAGCAATAACCTTTCAGATTCAGCCCTAAGAAGATAATTTTAAATAATTTATTATTATTTATTACAGTTTGCTGAAAATCAGATACAGGAGAGAGCCAGTATAAAAAAATCTTCCAAAAGATCTGCCTATCTTTTCTTTATAGTGATCTCCAAATTGGAAGACCAACTCAAAATCATACTGTTGGGCCATGTCATAAATGTGAAAATTGTAAAAATGACAAAACGACATAACAAGCTCAGAACGTATGACATTTGTATGCAAACGCCAATAACTTTGCGATAAAGACTATGCTAATCAGGAAGACTGAATAAAATATTGAAGAAGATCGAAAAGTTACAAATAGTCTTTTTTTTGTTCCATTTTTAAAATATCTTTAAAAAATAAATTTGTCGTTTATTTAAATGAGTATTTAATTAGTCGTAATTACTAGTGTTTCATATTATAAATGTTTATGCTCATATTTTTCATTCTATTTGTTCCTATGATGATATAATATTTTAAAAAAAAACTTCTGTAGTTTTTATATACACACCTACTGCAGGGTTAAGGAAAAATCGAGATTTTAAAATAGAAACAAGCTGGTCATGAATATGAAGAATCACAGTATTCAAAAGTGACAAGTTATCCCATTTATCCACATTGGATACTAGAAAAATCAATAACTAAATTTGACAACAAACTACTAATTGTTTATGACTTAATGGATTTGTAAAATATCCATGACTAAAATATTATTATTAGTAACTTTACTAGTAAGAAGGATACAACCGTGACTTTTAGTCTAACTTAACAATAAAAAGTAGCACCAGTTTGTTCATTAAGATCAATTAAACCAACGATTAAAGATAGTATGTATTTATTGTGGACGCGTAAAATGCTACTACTTGATCATATGAGACAGCTGTTGGAGGCAGACGTTTGCCTCGTTTACACCTTCCTGGTTGTTATGTCTCGTCGCATTTTGCCAACCTTCTTTACAATGTTTCTTCGCTTCTTCAAACATTTTTTTCTGCATGTATATGTTTCCCAAGTTTATGTATACACTTGACAGGTCCCACATGTTAGGTAAATGTTTTCCAATTTCAACTGCTTTCGTTAGAAACGTCATGGCCGAGTCGGCATCGCCAATGAGATAGCTGATGGTTCCCAAGTCGTTCAAAAGAACAACTGTTTGTTCATGCACTTCGCCATTTACTCTGGAAAAAAAATCATTTGTCATGTTAATTTTCCAAGAGTGATATTATATTGATAAAAAATTAATGATGGTACTTACTTTAATGACATTTGATAAGCTTGATTAAAATAATTTAAAGCTTCGCTAAATCTTTCCCTATCAAGAAGAAATCTGGCATACCAATCTAATGTCATTGCCCAAAGAAGAAGAGTATCTTCATCTGTACCTTGGTCAACTTTTTCACCGAGGTTTTTTAAGCAATATTTATATCCTTCTTCTGCCTCTCTAAAATTGTTTTCAATAAACTATTAAACTCAAACTAATTACATTTAAATACTTACACAAATTGTTTCTTTTCTTCAAAAATTTTTGCAAGTTTGAGGCTCATATGTAACAGCTTCAAATCGTCCTCTTTGGATCCTGCAGCTATTATTCTTTGCATTACCTAAACAGTTTCTTATAAAGGAGGGGTTTGCATTGATAATACAATTAATTACCTGGATAAATAATTTTTCTGCTTTAGAAAACTGTCCCTGAGCAAAAGCAAGATTGGCTAGAAGATCGTAAATGTACGTGATTCCATCAGCATTCTGCTGTTCTTGGGCCAACTTCAGTGCAACATGGAGCATCTGTTCTGCGGGTTTAAACTCGTCCCTCTCCAAGCAATTGAAATAGGTCAGTCAATAGTTAAGTTAATATATTTATGTAATTAAATGACAATCCCTCAAATATGTGATAATATTTGTAGAAGTATGATCCTCCTGGTCTCACTATCCCAAATCCACTTTATCTTGCTTTATGTGAAGGTGCTGTGAGCGCTCACAAAATATTCAAGGTATTCAGTGATAATGGCATGGTTTGGAAGATTCAAGGATAGGTCCTGCTCAGAACCAAAGATTATTGTGAACAGTAACGGAGATATTTAAATGAATCTACTCAAACATACTCAGAAATCTCTGAAAACTATCTGAAATTATCTGTGACAAATGGAAAAAGACAAAAGTGAAACCCAGCAGAGAACCAAGACAAGGGAATAGGCAGACCAAAAGATCAGAAATGACAAAACTACAAGTTCATCACCTAACAGACACCAGCTGTATGTATATTTGCTATAGTATATATTTATTTATAAACTTTTCCATGGAAAAAGCCCTAATAATATACATAATAATATTGTAATAATACTGTCAAGGTCAGTACTGAACTGCAGCAATTGTGGGGTTTGGACTGGAATGCTAGGCATTGCAGATTTGGGGGTATGGTGTAGACTCAGAGGGGCAGAATTATATAAGTACAATGTATTCAACGCAGTATGTTGTTCAATTTTGTGTTGTAGTTGCCAGATTTGGGGCTACCAACAATAAGAAGTTAAGAAATTCCAGGAATTTTTTTATCTGTAAGTTATTTGCTATCTCTACCCTTATCCCAAACTACATGATTTATTTAGAAACGTCCAATGACCTCATTTACTGACATATACACATTAAAATCAACTTCTCATTTATTTTAATTTTTTAAATTATCTGGATACAAAATTGTCTAAAATAATTGGGGTTGAACTTATCAAGACCTCCGGTATACCCTGTGGCTTATGCTCTTTCAAAAATTTGGAGTAACTTGCCCCACCCATGAAAACCTTGCTGATTGGTTAGATTTTTTTCAGTTCTGCTATCTAGAACCTACGAACAGCATCATGACGATAGCTTACTGCAGGGTCAGTCCTCACATAACTTTTCCTTATTCAAAGACTTGTCTCACCACCATACCTTGTTTAATCTACAAAGTGATAATCTAGACTTCCTTACTTTACCTACAATGGCTACTAAAAATATGTTCCGAGGCCCGTAAATTGATGGTAGTGGGGGGACTGATCTTTGCAATTCTCATTCCGTTGAATCAACATTGCATTTTATGGATAAGTGCACAATACTGTGTGAGATTAGGCTGTTGCACCTGGAATCTTTTACTCTCTCTATGGAGAGTTAAATTTGTTGAATGGCTCAGGGGCTTTTTCCCCACCACAAACTCATTGGCTGTTTCCTTTCCTCTTTGCATAATCTAAATGTTCTACATGTCTATGTTGTGTAGATGTTTTCTGACCAGTTTATAGTCCTATCACTCCTCTGAGTCTAGCCCTCTCCAATTGCAGCTGAAGCCTTGGTGAGGGTTATAAGGGGGAAAGGTGTGGTATACACTGGAGGTCAAAAATTTAGTATCACCTGTATATTTAAATCAAAATCACTTAAAACAGCGTTTATGTCTAATTTTAAATACATTAAATACTACAGCATACCCTGTATAGACTTGCATTTAAGGTTAATTCTGTTAATCAGATGTAAGAAAAACTATGAGAAAAATAAAGATTGTAATTAACAAGAATTTCACTAATACTGTCAATGACAACACCCTAATAATCCTTAAGAATTAACAATGTGTCTGTTATGTCTGGAGTTTTGTTTACATTCTGGTCTATCTCACAATACGTTTCTATTGTTAGTTTCTTTTCAGTGTGTTTCAGACCACAAAGTTTGAAGATTTTAATTGTCTGTTTCGTTTTTTCCTATTTTTACTTACAAAACTTGGTAAAAAGAAGGAATTTTCTGTTGAACTGCACAGTGCGATTTACACACTACACAAAGTAAACAAATCTGAGTGCCAAATGGCCGCTCAACTAAAAATTTCAAAAACAGGGTTCTATAACACCATTGCTCGCTTCGAAGAGACACACTCTCATCATGACAAATTCGATCAGGACGACCCAGAATAACATCTACCCAGGAAGATAAACTTATTATTTTGAAAAGCAAGAGGGACAGAAAACTCATTGGCCCCAGATTAGAGCTGAGGTTAATACTATCACCAAAAAATCAATTTGTTTCAACTGTAACAAGGAGATTTAGGGAGGCCAACTTGTTGTGGCGTGTTGTTACACTGAAACCACTTTTACATCCTGCTAATAAGAAGAAAAGGTATCAATGGGCACTTGCTCATAAGTATTTTACAGTGGAGGATTGGAGAAACCTACTACAAATACCGATGAATCAAAGTTTCAGGTATTTGGGTCGTCGCAGGATGGTTCATCGTACGTCATCAGAAAAGTTTATTCCTCAGTGCATAATCACAACCATGGCAGAGGTTCAGTTTTTGTGTAGGGGTATTTCTCGGCCTTTGGACAAGGAGATCTCATACAAATTCAAGGAATATTCTACAGAGACATTTTGAAAGAACATACAATCCCTTCTGGTTTTTGTTTAATTGGATCTGGTTTTATTATGCAACAAGATAATGATCCTAAACATGCTTCCAAGCTTTGTAAGAGGCTATTTACAAGAAAAAGAAAATGAAGGCTTTTTGAAGAAAATGACTTGTCCAGCTCAATCTCCAGATCTCAATCCAATTGAATTGCTTTGGGAAGAACTGGATATGAACGTCCGAACTCATGCTCCAACTTCACAAAAAATATTTGGGAGCTCTTCCAAAATTGTTGGAACATGCCTTTTGAAAAATTAAAAAATTTCTAGAAAGAATGCCACGAGTAGTCCAAGCCGTCTTGAAAAACAAGGGGGGATTTTTTGAAGGAAAAAACGTATAGATCAATTTTTTCAACATTATTACTATTAATCCATTGTTGTACATCATTTTATGTACATTTATTTCACAGATATCTTATCATTGTTTCAATAAAATTTTGTTTGAAATTTTTATTTTCGTTCTTTTACTGCAAAGAAATGAGGTGGTCAAGGTTTGACCGGCAGGGTACACGGGATAACAGTGAAAAAATATTACCTTTTGTTGTACGTTTCTTAAATAGATGTGTGAAACCCAAGTTGGAACATATAGTTAAAACCGATTTAATCCAAATTTCACAGATAGCTACCTGTATAAGAAGTACGGCGCGTTTGATTGTCGTTATGAGCTCGGATTCTCCATCCGGTTCTTCTCTCTTGTTCAAGAAGGAGAAGATCCCCGAGACGAGCATCACATCTGCGAACCTCCTCCGCCTGCAGTCGGACTCGTTATTCGGTTCGGACTCGAAGTAGCCGCTCGGCAGGAACGCCTCCAACCGCCTCGAGCCGTGGTTTCTGACGGTCCGGTTCCGCAATCGGAGTCGGTTCCTTTCATGACTGAAAACGTTTCCTGACGATCTCACGAAAAATTTAGCTGCAAGCCTAAACATGACATTTGCCCTACCCGACGTCTAACCTCCCTGTTGAAAATGTCAAAACTATTGTACTGTGTGGCTCAGCTGATTGATGTAACCATTCCGGTGATAGCGTACTTTCGTCATTGATTGAACCACTTTTTTGAGCCTTCTATTTTTAAAATGGCCCTTTTATTCCCTTTGCTTATTTGCCGTTTTATAAAAAAAATAAATACAAAACAAATAAAATAAAATAAACTGCTCACAAAAAGTGCGAAATTTTGATATTTTTTTAATGTACTTGCCTTTTCAGAAATATTAACACCGATATTTTTTATAATCTCAGATATTTATTAAAATACTTATATAATTGAAAATTCAAATGCTTCTAAAAAAATCAATATTGTGTTTAAACAAAAACATTATAAAACAAACTTTAAAATCTTTAATAATGTGTCTCTTCTAGCTCTTTTTTTCTCTAGGTTTGCAGATTTTGGGTGTACTCAAAGACTATTTTGGATGTTAAGGTACATGTACATCTGACAGTTATTTCATGATATTTTTTAGACAGAAATCATGGATAATGTAAACAGGGAAGACTGTTTATTTAGAAATCGTGAGATGCGGTCTGGTGTGATGTAGGTTTCAGAAAAACATTTTGTTTATCGTGCCAATGTTTGATCTTTATTGAGATCATCTTCAGGTCTCAAAGTGTTTGTGTGTCACTGTCTTCTGTGTAATTGTGTCATTCTTGCGTGTCGTGTCGAGAGTGCACTATGCAATTTTAACAATTTATTTACAGTCATTTCAATAAGTAAAACAAAAGAGAGACTAAAGTCAGAAATTATACCAAGGTTCTTAATACCATTTTAAACCAATGATGTTGTTTTAATATGCCACTCCCATGCAGGAAATAGAAGATTTTAACTTTAGGTACTAGAAAATCAGCAAGTCCCGACATTATTCCTCCTATTCTTGTCACAAATTGTGTATCTTACCTCATTACGCCATTGTACTAAATCTTCAATAACTCTCTCAACAAGTTCTACTCAGTTTTGGAAATCGTTCTTTGTAATTCTGCTTTTCAAATTTGGCAATAAATCCAATATATGTGATTATAGACCTATTTCCATCAATCTGTTTTTTCAAAATGTTTGAATCTTGAGTTTGTAAAAAGTTAAAAAATGATCTTAAAAAAGTTATTATTCCCAACAGCATATCTTCTGTACTGGCAGATCAACAGTTTCTAATTTGCTAATATATTAAAATTATATTTTGAACGCTATAACTGATGTATGTTGTCAGGTGGATTCTGTACATGTAGATTTTTCCAAGGCCTTTGACAAACTTGATTATAACATATTAAGAAGCTAGAAGGAAATGAAATATTTGGAAATCTACAGCTTATTTATCACACAGCTTATTTCACAGTTAGTTATCTGAATGCACCCAAATAATTAAAAACAGGACTTTTAGATCCCTTCCCTTTTTTGTTTTATGTATCTGGTGTGCCATAGGGCTCCCATTTTGGTCCTTTTCTCTCTCCTCTTCATTAATGATATTCACCTTGCTTTATCTGGTACTGAGTTTCTTCTATTCGCTGACGACCTATATACAAAATAATTTATACAAAAATTTATTTCATATTAGATCGCATTAATTTACAGTTTACATTAATCATCAGTTGCAGTTTCCTTCCAGTAAGGCCTTTCTATGAATCTCTTTGCATGCGTCATGTCTGGGTGTTGCTCCACCAAGTTTTGTATTCATTAAGGATCTATTTTTAAATCTCTCCTTTTCTTGTGGCAAGGGATAGGCCACAGTAGGGCTCAGAGCTTAGAGAATTCATATTGGCTCCTTTTTTGGTCGACATGTCTGATTTTTCATTGTCTCTGTTTCAAATGCCTAGGCAATGCAAGTGTCAGGTCATTAGTTTTATTATTTCTGCCAGGGATTCCATACAATTCCATTCACTTTTTGCCTTTACCTCATTTACAAGAATGTCAGAGAAAATGGCTATATTTAAAGCATTTTTACCTAATGCTAAAGTCAGTTCCACATGGGCTACTAAATAATATTAAAATATTGGAATCGTATTGCATCCAATGGAACCTGACAGTTAACCTGAAAAAGTCCAAAAATCATAATTTTCAGAAGAGAGAGTAGTGTAAAGTCCACAAACCGTTGGGTTTTTTTTAAAGGGGGAACTAGGAGGAGCAGTGTATATAAAAAAAATTACCAAAGAAAACCAAAATATTTTTGCTTTAACATTAGAGTACCAGTACCTCCTGCCAAATGTGAATAGGGGACTAGTTTTATACAGAATGATATATTTCTATCACTTTTTATCCTTCCGTGATGTAACTTTCAGTTGGAGTCACTCTCACTTGAGCAAGGTCGTCAGTACGTATACCCGGCCGGTAACCTTATTGATGATACTGGTCCATTAACTTGTTTACCCCTATAGTTAAGAAGTTATTTTATCCACGTCATACTACATTAATTACAGATTTGCTATTTGTTTTGAAAGTTGACGCCAGTTTATCACAAATCTGATGGTATAAATGAGTCAAGTTCTCCTCGACTGTTAAAAACGGAGTGAAATTCTATAGTGATAAATATTAAAAATGTCTGATAAGAAGATCATCACTAGGACAAACTTGAGTAGACAGCTATCAACCGTTATTTATTATTTTTCAATATTATCTATAGTGTTTATAGTATTTTTCAATCTACCGTTATTGTGCGGAGGGCATGAGCATAGTCATTCGCATACGGAAGAAGCGCCGCATTATAAGTATTCGGCACATGCGAATGAACCAAAGAGGCATGAAAGTGTGAAAGAGCAGATGAAAGAATCGGACAGGACGGATCTGTGGACGCAGGCCCTCGGTGCTACGTTGCTTATCAGCGTGGCTCCGTTCTTCATTTTGTTCTTCGTCCCGTTAGATGACAGCCGAGAGAGGGAACCGTTACTTAAGATTGTGCTCAGCTTTGCGTCTGGAGGCCTGCTCGGTGATGCTTTTCTTCACCTTATACCACATGCGCTTATGGGCCAGGGCCATGATAGCCATGGTGCGGTTCATGGTCACGACCACGGGCATGGGCACAGTCACGGGCATGGGCATGGACATTCCCATGGAGGCGAGGGTGGTGGACATGATAATAAAGTTGGAATGTGGGTTCTAGTTGGCATTCTTTTATTTCTTTTTGTTGAGAAAGCTGTCCGCCTTCTTAACAGCGGTGGTCATTCACATTCACATTCTCACTCAGTTCCTTCCGGTGATGAAAAGAAAGAAGAAAAGAAACACAGCAAAGATAATGAGGTCAATGAGCATTCAAGCAGCGATAGTAAAAAGGGTTAGTCTTTATTTCAAAAGTGTATTTATATATTAATTACCTGATTGACAATTAAATATTGGGTTGACCTTATGTAATGAACCTGTGACTTTTTGTAAGATTCTATGTTTTTTAAAAACTTGATTTTGTACACTACTTTAAACTTATGTAAATACAAGTTTATATTTTACATTTGTGGTCAACACTGATCTTCCTGGTCTGACTATTCCAGCTGGTGTTGTGTCAGACAAGTTTTGGTCTTTTTCTAGTTTCATTGGTTTGTCTGTGTTATTTTCCATGGAGCACATTTGACCATTTTTCATAAAATTTTAAATGCTGAAAATGTGGCTGACCAAGAAGGACTGGTTTATCAAAAACAAACTAGAAAACAAATAAATCAATTTTTGAAATACTCGGATAAAAAATGTAAAAATATATGCTATATCTGTACCGTTGGTGTAAAAATGGATAAATTCAAAAACACAATTTTTCATGATTGGGATTTTAATGTTTAGACTTTTCAAATTCCAAATTCAATTTCTGTAATCACTTTTTATGTGAATTTGTAATCCTTCTGTTTTATGTGAATTTTTTTTTCTAGACTTTATTGATTATACATAGTCTGTTAAGGCCTAAAGACACTGCAATATGTGCTTTTCTCGTTTCTTCAACATTTGACGTATCCTGTTTTGCTCCTAGGGTGCAGATATTGTATTATAATACTAAGTGTACCATCATTGTAAGATATAATTATTTTTAAATTGTTTGTAGGAGAATTCCAAATCGCTGGATATCTTAATTTGGTTGCTGACATGACGCACAACTTTACGGATGGCTTGGCCATTGGTGCTTCTTTCCTCGCTGGAAAAAATGTCGGCTATGTCACAACTCTCACAATTTTATTCCACGAAGTACCCCACGAAATTGGAGATTTTGCCATTTTAATCAAATCTGGATGTAGCAGAAAGAAGGTAAACAGGCCATATAATTGGAAATGGAATGGTATCAAATCTGATGGTATATATGGGTCAATTTCTCCTCGACTGTTATAAACAGAGTGAAATTCTATAGTGATAAATATTTTTAAAAAAAATGTATTGCACTGTGAACTAAAATTTTATTGTGGAATTGGCCCTTCTTCATTTCCAAGCCCTGGATTTATTCTTAAAAACAAAAACAGTATGAGCCATTGATTTGGTATTTTGATGGCAGTTTTTATGAAAAGCTGAAGAATTAAGTTTTTGAGTTAAAGTCAAAAGACTATCACGAATCTCTAATCTCTGCCATGAAGTCATGGTCTGTTTAATAATTTTATATGTTTTAATAGGAAATTTTACAGCTACGATGATTTGATTATATACAATTACAATCTATTGCAGTTTGATAAAGATTGAAAATAATAATTAATAAATAATATTCCTAAACAAGACTCTTTATGTGTGAATGACATAAACTGTATGAACAGAAAAAAAATACACAAACATATGTGTGCATCGTGAAATTTGCTTGTCTCCGATTAATCATAGTCTGCTTATTCACAGTAGTTGGCCACTGAAGATGATGAAATTTAAGAGTCATAAGGATAGGATTATTAAACTATGCATCTGCCTAGATCATTTAGCCCTTATTGTAATTAATAATAATTATAATATCTGGTTTTAGGCTATGTATTTACAACTGCTCACTGCATTGGGCGCATTTTCAGGGACTGTTGTGTCTCTTCTTGCAGACGGATATGGTAAGTTAGGACTTTACTTGTTTATTTATTTTTTCCATCAATGTGTAATGATTTCTCTGTTTTAAGACGAGGCTGCATCTGCATGGATTTTACCGTTAACTGCTGGAGGGTTTATTTATATTGCAACTGTATCTGTGCTTCCGGAACTCCTGTCTGACACCAAATTCTGGCAGTCGGTCAAAGAAATATTTGCTCTACTTGTCGGTGTGTTTATGATGATAATCATAGCGGAATTTGAATAGTGATTGTTTAAGAAAACAAAGAAATTATGTCTTATTCATTTATATAGAAAAAAAGTCCCCTTGTTCATGAAAATATTACACTGTGGACTTTTTATTGATACGTACATAAACATTATATTTTTCTACATTGTTTCATGTATTTTTAAATAAAGTTAGTTGTTTATTGTACACTACATTCCAAAGGTACACAACAGAGCAGTGTTGCGCAGAACTCATTCCAACTCCTGACATTCCAGAATATCATTATCTACTTTTCAGTGAATTATTATATTGTTTATTTATAATAATTCATTTATTATAATAAATACACATCATTAAATTTTAATTAAAACGTTTGATCTCATGGGATTGAAAATATAAAAATATGAACATCTTACATAAATCAAATTGTGTAACTATGAATAGGTTTACTATTTTTAAAAAATATTTTTTATTATAATTTTAATGATAATCAAAAACAATTTCAACATGCAATCCATAAAATTAGACATTTGAATGCTACAGGAAAAGAAGCGTTACCAGAAATGTTTTATTCCATTTAACTTTGTTAAGTATATCTACAACTTTTTCAAAAAATAAAAATTATTTTTTAATGGTTCCTTAATTTTTTCTCACTATTTATTAAATAACTATACATTTTCAAAACCTTTCCTCTGATATGGAAGTCTAATAATACAAGTAACCTGTTTATATTAAAAAAATATCAAAGAAGGAAAATTATAACGATATAGGAGAAAGAAGAAACAGGAAGAATAATGTTAGTAGTCATGCATATTACAATTACTTGGAATTGTTGTCTCTGCAACTATGTGCAAATTTGTATTTAAAAAAGTTATTCATATTTTGAAATACTAACATCTAACAAACTTATGAATTGTAGTTTGATCTGCCTATTTTGCTGATTTGGTCTGTCAGATGCATTTCTTCCTTTTGCCATCATCAGTGTGGGTTAGTGGTCAAATAACACAGATCAATCACTGAAAGTGGTGAGAAGTGGTTTCTTGTCATTTGTATTTAAGCTGAGAGAAAAATAACACGAAACGGAATGGGAAATAGGCGAAATTCAGGTATGTACTTTAAACGTGTAGACGCAAGTGTTTCTCCTTTGTTAACAACCTATTATTCTGTGACTATTTTTAGCAGTAATAGTTCTTTGAAAAATATCATGGTTTATAACTGTTAAAACCAATATTTTTGATATACATTTTATTATATTTCTATTGTCTGTTTATTTTTAAATAAATATTTTTTAGTAAATAGAAGTTCTTGAAATTGAATAAAACATTTTTCAGTGCAATGTCCACTTTGCAAAAATATTCTTTAAACTGATATTAAAAATGCAATAAAAACATGATTAGAAGAAAGTGGCAGCATCGGTAGGCCAGATTGGCAGAATACTCGCTTATCAAGAGCACTGTCGATACAAGGAGGGCCTGACTAGTAGAAGAACGGTCATTCTCACCTGATTAAGGATAGGAGATGCAAGATTGACACACATGCCACCCCCTTACTGTACTTGTAGTATACAAATGACCAACAAATGGAAAACAAAACCAACATTTGCCAATGCCAGCTACCCTCCCAAGTGGAAAAATGTATCATTAATCCACAAATTGGCTGCAAATCGCAATGACTGGACAGATTTAGAAGATCAAAATATGCAATCAAAAATCTCAATATGTTAACTTCTGAGGCCTGAACATCCTGCATCTCGACAAAGTTCATGTGTATTCTACGCCTTCAAAGCAACCCGAATAGCTCGCTAATAGTTAGCACATCATAAGGCGATTGAAGAGTGGCCCAGTGGTTTGAGTTAGTTTTTTAAGGTTAAAGTTTTTAAAAAGTCAGGAGGTTGACTCATTTAGTTAAATTATGACACTAATGAATACACACGTGCATTTACTATTACTATATTTATTAGTCAGTTTAAAATTAATAGATGGTCGCATTTTACCAGTTTTAATTAGACAAAAGTTTTATATTTTATGGATTTAAATTTTTTTTAAAATTTTCAAGTATTCTCTTTTTTAAAGCATCTTCTTTTCGTTGACATATTGACCTTGGGTTTAATGAGAGAAAACGAAAAAGGAGTTTTTTAAACAACAGGAAAATCAGTTGATGTGTGTAATTGGTTCATTGCTATGGATGATATTATTTTTAGTGATTAGAGGCAATCTATGTTTTAGGTACAGTTAGACCATTTTGTAATATGCAGAATAGCACCGAGTGATAAGTAATGTTAAGTACTTAAGTCCTTTGTCTATAAAACGTGACTGTCTGTTAATATGAAAACCGGATTAGATAGCGTTTCAGGAAGATGACAGTAAGTTGTCAAAAAATCTCACAATCTCACGAGCCCTTTGTTCATTGTTATATTTTCAAATAGATCGTAATGTGGTACTCATTAAAAGAGAATAGCACAGACAATAAACGACAGCTTGAAATATGGTTGAAGGGAAAAGACGATTCGAGAATGGACTTGCAAATGAGCTTTTTTTAACAGAGGCGTCATAAGTGAGTTTATTTCATTCAAGGACATCTATATTTCAGATCAAGTGTTCAGTAAAGTTTGTTCGATGGACGAAGGATTTAGAAAAGCACAAGTTCACTCTCATGTCACGTTGTTCGAATATGGAGAGCTATTTTCAGGTTTGACAGGTACAAAAAGGATCTCTGTCGTCCATGAAAGTCGAGCGAGTTTTGGCTGTTCAAAAATCTTTAAACACCACTGCCAAAAACGCAAACAAAGTCTAATAAAAAGTTCAATATTATTAGATAGCAGCAACAATTTATTAGTAACTATAAGGTTTATTGTAGAATCGATATTCAAATTTGATTTTGAAGAATACGTCTATAACTTTAAACTTTTTGTATTTATCGACGAATTATTAAACATGAAAGGTGATTCAAGTTATAAGTGTAGGCTCTGCCTATTTATGCTTTTTCTTAGTTGCGAGACTTAAACGAACCTACTCATCTTTAATTATGAATTATTAAGCAAAACCAACTCGAGATATTACAGCGAAAAGTTAATACATTGTGAGATGTGTTTCCTTCATTAGCGGTTCTAACAAATAATTTAAAGAAAAGGACACGGTTGACCAAATAACATACAGGCCAATTAGTGAAGATTATAAATACACGTGTGACAGCAAAACCAACGAAAAGAGACCGGAAAGATCAGACAACTACGCTGTCACAATCTTAAAAATGAACGCATGACAATGCATCTAGATGTTTGGAGAAGAAAATTTGCATGTTACAACATGAACTTACTTTTGAGTTTAGTAAAGTTCATACAATGAGGCATATCGTGTTTCCTTCAGCGTGTGCTACAAAAGCAACTTATAAAAGGACACAATTGACCAAATAGCACACAGGCCATTAAGAGAAGATGGTGAAATGCAAGACAGGAACAAGAATATACCAAGAAGATCGGAGACGAGTATTACGTAATGTCACAATCTCCACTCATCTTCGAAGTTTATGTATTTCTTTAGGAAAACCACATCTTTACAAAAGATGCAGTATTACAACGTAAAGTTAATATATTGTGGGATATCGTCTTTCATTCAGCGCCCGGGTACAACAGGAACGTAAAAGGACACGGTTCACTAAATGTCACACAGACCAACCAGTGAAGATGGCGTAGTGCACGATTGACAGACAAACCAGTGAGGATAGGCAGCCAAGAATGTTCGCAGACGTTAACCACATAAAGTTAGAACCTGTGCACTCATCTTTGAAGTTTATGGATATTTAGAAAAATTACCTCTTTACAAACGTTGTTGCATTACAACGTAAAGTTAATATATTATGGGATTTCCTGTTTCCTTCATCGGTTGGTACAAAAGGAACCTATAAAAGACACGATTGGCCAAGTAACACACATATTAATCTGTGAAGGTGGCGAAATGCATTTAACAGCGAAACCAACGAGAATAAACCAGGAAGATCGGAGACGACAATACGTTATGTCACAATATGTCCCCCATCTTTGAAGTTTATGGATTGTTTAGAACAATCACCTCTTTACAAAGATGGATTATTGAAACATAAAGTTAATATACTATGGGATATCGTGTTTCCTTCTGGATAAAGTAGGAACTTAAAAAAGGGCACGATTGACCGAATAACTCACACACCAATCAGTAAAGTTGGCGAAATGAACGTGTGACAAACAAAATCAGCGAAACCTGGAAAGAGGAAGTTTGGAGAAGAACATTTTTTTTAGAAAAACCACCTTTGTGCAAACGAGTGGATAATTGCAGTGAAAAGTTAATGTATTGTGACATATTGTGTTTCCTTTATCAATTAGTATAAAACGAATTGATAAAAGGTTGACTAAATAACACAGAGACCAACCAAATAACCACTGAATATAGCGAGGTAGGCAGATCAGGATAATTAGTGACTGACCCATCTTTGAAGATGAAGATTTGTTTAAGCAAAATCACTTCACGAAAGTGTATAAATTACTAAAACTACTAATTATAAGTTGGTTTATGGTGCAATCGAGTCGTTTACTAGCGAGTACAGCGACAAAAGAGAGATGTGGTCACCTCCGACTAATTTTTCTCTACCAAAATCCACCATTGTACAAACATCACAAAAGAGACAAAGTTCAGGTTCAAACGCTGAAGATGGCAAAATGTCAAGACTCGTATCACCGAGAAATGTATGGTAAATAAGCAGCCAAGGAACAGGCATTAGTGAATTGGTTCATAATGCCAAGGTAATGAGACAATACTTGAGATAGCATTTTTCATCCAGTTAGAGCGGACCATCCGAAGAACGATGACCACTTCGTTAAATTAAGCCCTATGACCAACTCGACCGGCTAAAATAAGCAATCAAGGTAAACAGCCAAAGATGGTGACTCGGAGCGGATTTTCCAGATGACATAACTCGCTGATGATAAATCTGATGCTGTTGGGCCGAGACGTGCTACTTCGAGCAACATTAACATGAAGAACGCTTTTTTAATTAAAAACAAATTTTATGCTGCGTTACAGAATTTACTCCATAAAAAAACTGAAATTATCTTTCGGGAGGATGGCATAATGACCTCACCTGGAGGTAGCTAGAATATATAAATAAATAAAAAATATATATCTTATTACTGATCATTGCTAACCAATAAAAAAACAACTAATTTTAAAATTTATTTTTGTTTATGTATTCTATTTCTAC